TGTCAGGCCCGTTCCCTTAATTTATCAGAGGAGAGAAGAGGAGGCCTGGAGCCATCCTGCAGTGGGTAGTAGCATAGCTCTCTCACTGTCACATGCAGCTACGCTGAAGGGCTCTGGGAGATCAGGCTGGTCCCTGGGGCCCCAGGAGAGTGGGGGCTGCGAGGCTAGCTCTGCGCCGTCTCCCCATGCTGGGTCTTCCCATGCTGGGCCCGGGTGGTGCGTAGCCCTGGAGGGCCTCACCGGGGCTGCTCCCTCCGAGAGGTTAGGAGCCGGACCCCATGCTCTGCGTCTCGGTGCAGGCAGGTGTGAACGACTGGGAAGCAGGTTTGCTGACCAGAGGCATCCAGGCCCCTGACTCAGAATGGGGGTGGGATGAGGGGCGCGGCCAGTGCTGCTGGACTTCACTGAGAAGCGAGCTTGCTAAGGGTGGGGTGGGGGTTGCCAGACCCTGGCTGCTGACCCCAGTCATGCGTGGACGTGTGCCCTGCAGGTTGCACTTCCCCCAGCTGGCCTTGAGACGGAGGCTGGGACAGTTAAGCTGCATGTCCAGACCTGCCCTGAAACTGCGCTCCTGGCCCCTGACGGTCCTCTACTACCTCCTGCCCTTTGGTGCCCTCAGACCGCTCAGCCGGGTGGGATGGAGGCCTGTGAGCAGGGTAAGTGTGTGCGGGCTGTGGGAGCCGAGCCCTCCAGGAGGGTGGTGGCAAAGGCGAGTTGACTGAGGTCTTGCTCACTGTCCTCTGCCTGCTTTCTGCCCGCCTTGTACCATTTGGGGGCTCTGCTTCTAGAAGGAACCCATACTGGGCATTCAGAAAACGGTGTCTGTCTCATTGCCTGTGTTCAAGGAGAAGTGAGCTTAGAGGTGATTTTGAGGAAAATCCAAATTAGTTCCTAGGTGTCAGAGGGTGGGTGGTCTGGGAAGACTGGAGTCTATTTAGGCCCCTTAGGGTGGGGATGCCTTTGAGGACCTGGGAGCCCTGGGCCGTTTGTTTCCTGGAGGGCAGACTGACCCCAAGAAAGAGATCCTGCTCCTGGGGTCTTGGACAGCCCCAGCGGGGTGCTGCGAAGGCTTGAAAGCTAGGGAGCTTGGGCCAGGAGACCTGAGGCCGCACAGCAGCTGTGGCCAGGGGACAGGCATCAGCAGGGAGGAGTTCTGGGAGCCGCTAATTCAGTACCTCCGAGAGGTGTTTAAAGTTGGAATGAAATCTTTTACACCTTGGGGACTTGGTGTCTTCGTTGTGTTCAGACAAGCAGCAGCGACCAGTTAGAGGCTGGTTCCCTTGTTCCTCCTGGGAGGAGCCTCAGGTGCAAGCAGCTCTGTGTTCTGGTGCATCACCGCAGAGCGCCTCTGAGCGTCGGGCGGGGCTCTGCAGGGCGTGTCCGGGCCCTGGCCCTGTGACAGTGGTACCGCGCATCTTCCTGGTGTTGGAGTCCCCGACCTTGGTGGGGGGCACATTCTGTTTCCCGTTGGGACAGAGATGAGCACTTCGGGCTCTCTGCCCGGGCCTCCTGCTCCTTTCTGGGTTCCGGGACACAGGCGCTGCTTCCTGCTGCAGCCCGGTGGCGATGGTATCAGATTCATCCGTGCCCCCACCCCGCTTCAGGAAACAGGACTGTGTTGGCCAGTGTCTCCCCAGGCACTAGGGTGGCCGCAGTTCTGCGTGCATAAAATGACTCAAACACCTGGCTTGCAAGTCTCTATGTTAGTTTCAGCCAGCACTTAGTTTGTGAGACCAGTCGGCAGGTTCAGTCTGGTTCCTAGTGAGAAACAGCCACACGGGAACACCAGCATGGGGCACCCAAGACTTCCAGAGGCGGCCCCATCAGTGGCGGGGAGTTGACTGGGGCACAGCAGGCTCAAAGTGTGGCTGACTCATCCGCCTGCAGGTGGCCTTGTACAAGTCGGTGCCCACGCGCTTGCTGTCGAGGGCCTGGGGCCGTCTTAACCAGGTGGAGCTGCCGCACTGGCTGCGCAGGCCTGTCTACAGCCTGTACATCTGGACCTTCGGGGTGAACATGAAGGAGGCCGCCGTGGAGGACCTGCACCACTACCGCAACCTCAGCGAGTTCTTCCGGCGCAAGCTGAAGCCGCAGGCCCGGCCTGTGTGTGGCCTGCACAGTGTGGTGAGGCTGGACCCGGCTTCCACGGCTCCCTCTAGAAGTGGGATTCGTGCCCGTGCCTTCGGGAACCAGCCCCTACAGACCCCATGGGTGGCCCGGTGGGCGTTCCTCCCAGGCCTGGGCCCCGGTGGGGAGGAAGAGGTCCACGTCTGCACTCCCTCCTCCGCTGTGTCCCTTCCCCTCCCATCCCTGGCAGTGAGACTCTCCCGACCCTTCCAGATCAGCCCGTCGGATGGGAAGATCCTCAGCTTTGGGCAGGTGAAGAACTCTGAGGTGGAGCAGGTGAAGGGCGTCACCTACTCGCTGGAGTCGTTCCTGGGCCCTCGTGCCTCCCCAGAAGACCCGCCCTTCCCACCAGGTGGGTCCTTGCCTGGCCACAGCCTGTTGGCCCTGCTGCAGTGTGGCTGGGCTGGAGGTCAGAGGGGGAAGGTTGGGAGCAGGTCAGGGACGGACGGAGGGACTCTGGGAAGGCTGTAGGAACTGAGAGCGGGCCCCTGGGCCCGGAGTCCTTCTGCCCAGAGGTTTGGGGCCTCCCTGGAGCCTGTGTCCACACTGCGTGCAGGCTTCCTGCTGGGAGGCATTGGGTGCTTGTCTCATAGCCTGCCCCCCACAGCCGCCTCCTGCAGCTCCTTCAGGAACCAGCTGGTCACCAGAGAAGGGAACGAGCTCTACCACTGCGTCATCTACCTGGCCCCTGGGGACTACCACTGCTTTCACTCTCCCACTGACTGGACCGTGTCCCACCGGCGCCACTTCCCAGGTAGGCCAGGGCTGGCACGTGACTGAGAGTTGCCTCTGAGACCCAGACGGATGCCCTCAGCTTCTAGGTTTCAGGGGGACCCAGGCTGCAGATTTTGGGTGCTGAGGCCGGAGTTGACTGCTTTAGTCCGGCTGGGCGTGGGCAGAGGGGGTTGGCTGGAGAACAGCCCCTGTGGTTTGGAACAGCTGGGCCCTGCGAGGCTGGCCCTCCTGCCGGGCGGGGAGTAGCAGTGTCCCTGCTCCCGCAGGCTCCCTCATGTCTGTGAACCCCGGCATGGCCCGCTGGATCAAAGAGCTCTTCTGCCACAACGAGCGGGTGGTCCTGACTGGGGACTGGAAACACGGTTTCTTCTCGCTGACAGCTGTGGGCGCCACCAACGTGGGCTCCATCCGCATCTACTTCGACCGGGTAAGCAGAGCCCAGGCCCTGCTGAAGCCCGAAGGCTAGGCCACGTGGGATCCCTCTGCCCTGTCTGCCCCCGACTTGCCCCTCTCTGGAGGCGGCCAGCGAGGGAGGGGAATGGTGGCCTTGGGTGGATCATGCTGACTGGAGGCCCAGCGTGTGAGGAGACAGCCAGTGCCCGCCCTGCCCAAGGTGCTGCCCCTCTCCATGTTGGTTTGTGACTGCCCGTTGCCCCCGGGTGTGGTTTTGCAGCACCATTTGTGGAGGAGCGAGCTGGGTCTGACGCCTGCCTGTCCCTCAGTGGCCCGGCTCATAGCGGGTGTAGGGCACTGTCTGGTTAGAGGCCGGCCGCTGGGCTGAGTTGCTCTCCCTGCCTCCCCTCCAAGCTGGGTTGGGGACGGGCTGCAGAGGTGCGTTCAAGGTCCAGATCACAGGTGTCTACATGCTCTGCCCCCGGCCTCCCCCAGGACCTGCACACAAACAGCCCCCGGTACAGCAAGGGCTCCTACAACGACTTCAGCTTCGTGACACACGCCAACAAGGAGGGCATCCCCATGCGCAAGGGCGAGCACCTGGGCGAGTTCAACCTGGGCTCCACCATCGTGCTCATCTTTGAGGCCCCCAAGGACTTCAACTTCAAGCTGAAAGCAGGACAGAAAATCCGATTTGGGGAGGCCCTGGGCTCCCTCTAGAGCCTCTTTCCTGGCTACAGCTGCTGAGGGACCTTCCCTGAACAGAGAAGTGGAAGTTGTCTTGAGCGGACCCTCCTCAGCTGTCTGTGGAGGGGACTAGGCACCATGGAGTCTGACCAGGCAGGACCTGGGTGACTTCTGTTCCTGCTGTCCCCAAGGTGCGGATGAGGTCAGCGCTCCCGTCATGCCCTATACCTGCGTCATCCCCTCTTCCCACCCTAATGAGAAAGTGAGTGCCGGGATGACCAGAGATTCCCTTTTGGGGAGAAAGGGTTTAACCCCTATTGCGTAGACCAGAGACCTGTGTCTCCTGGCTAAGCATTCAGTTGGTCCTGGTTCCTGTCTAAGATGGTAAGTGGTACTGTACCTTTTTGCTGTTCCCCCTGTCACTGCTTTTGGCCTCGCCTGCACAGGTGAGGTGCCTCCTGGCACCGACTGTGGGCCCGCCTGTCCCCAGAGCAGGACAACACGGCCTTTAATGCAACTGCTTTCTCTTTCTCAATTCACCCCTGCTCATTGGGAAAAGCTTTCTTCTTCACACTTATGGCTGAATGCATCACCCGACTCTGCCAGTATCTTCTGAGGATGGTGATTAATGGCCAGTGCTTTGCAGACCCCAATGAGTGAGTGACCTTATGGAGCATTAAGACCAATTACTGAGCCCATCTGACTGGTGCCCCACATGGATGGGGCAGGCAGGTAGTGGTCGCACGCTGGGGCCAGGGGAGAGCTTGTGTCCCCTCCCCAGATCTACATTAAATATGGGACAGTTGCTGCTATTGGTTCAGGGGCTTATGTTGGAGACAAAGGAGCCTTGGTGTATCGGGGTGGGGAGGCAGAGTCAGTGCCTAGAAAACCTGTCCCCGGGCAATAGGTATGCAGTCCTTGGGGAGCCACTGATGGTGGGGACAGGGCCAGGTTTCATGTCTCCTGGGGACTCTGAATTTCTCCTGCAGGAGAAGCCATTTGAACTTTTTCAACTGTATCAGTAGCTCAGTATTTTTGTATGAGAAGTGGGAGACTTCTGAACAGTAATTCATTTAATTGCAACATTTTGAAATAAAAAATGAAACTCAGTTCAGCTTTGCATTCTGTTCCTGGAGGTGGGCTGAGTCCTCCCGGGGGCTGCGGCTCTAGCACAGAGCCCGCCACAGCACCTGCACTCGGGCGATGCAGGCGTCAATGGGCTGTCGCTGAGCCTGGAGCTCTGCGGCCAGCTGTAGGATCTGCAGTTCCACCTGGAGGCCAGGCAGGGACAGGCTAAGCTGAGAGGAAGCACATCCAGAGCCCATCCCAGGACTGCGTGGGACCTCACCTCCTCCAGTTCTTCCTGCACCTGCTGCTCTGCTTCCTGGTCGTCAGGCCTGGGCTCCTCCCGGCTCAGCTCCAGCCACCGGCGCAGGCTGCTCGCTTGCCGCTGGTAGGACCTGAGGCAGGGAGACACCTGCTGTGTGCCCGGCTGGGCCCTTGGTGGAGGCCCAGGCTTGGAGTGAAGCACATGGGCTATTTACTAAGGCAGGTGGAGCGGGGGAGGGTTGTTCCTGTTCCTCTCCCAGCCTCCACTGTGTCCAGCAGACGGCACCTTGGATAGGCCCAGGGGGAAACCCCTCCCTGGACCTCCAAGGCTGCTGTGTATGGTGAGGGTCCCCAGCCTGGGCTTAGAGGCTGTGGGCTCAGAACCCAGACCACAGGCAAGCCAGGACAGCCCACTGCATGCAGTGGGGGCCAAGGCCTGTCTTTGCACCTTTTCATCACGTGACCCATTCAGGTTTAAAATTTTGCTCAGCTTTGTTGTCCCCCTATCCCACAGGTAAGGCCAAGCTGGCCTTCCTAAGGAGGACGGGAGGGGTAAAGATGCCCCTGTGTGTCAGGGGCTGGCAGTGCTCAGTGCAGGCGAATCAGCCCTAGGGCCCTGGCAGCCAGTTCCCAGCTGTGCCCTGTGGGCAGGGGTGTTTCTGGGTTGTACCTGAGGTTCTGCTTCATGCTCTGGTAGTCCTGCAATTGCCGCTGAATGTCCTCAAGTTCGGCCTCCAGGCTGGCGTGGCCCGTGGCAACAGGAGAACAAGCTTGGTCTTGCCCACTCTCCTGGCTGGGCCCAGGCTGAATGGAGGGAGTCCAGGTGCTGGGGGTGGCCCAGGTGCTTGCTGTGCTGACAGACCTCAGGCACACACCTGCAGTTTCGGAGCCCAGCCCAGGCCGGGTGCCTGTGAGGTCCCCAGGAAGGAGCAGACGGGGGTCGGGGACACTGGCTGGCCCTACAGGAGCCAGGGGCACACGGCCAGAGGGGGTCAGCCACGCTGAAGCCTGTAAAGGAAGGAAGGACACGAAGCAGGGACGTGGGAGGAAGGCCAAGGCTGCAGGGGGAGGGTAGGGGAGGCCCCAGGAGCTGGGCCTTCCCACAGCCAGCTCACCTGGAGTCCCGGCCCGTCCGCCTTCCTTCAGGACCGGACCTCGAGCAACCCATCCCTTTGCAGTCTGGTCCCACCCCTTCCCAGGGCCTGGCGCAGCACTGTCCCAGTCCTTTCCGAACCTTCCTGACCTTTCACCCCTGCCCCACTCTGAGCTGTGACCTTTCAGTGAGAAAGGGTTCAGAGACGATTGTTCTTGTCCAATCACCTACCTCCATTCCTCCTGTTCCCTCCTGGTAAGAACATTGCCCACCCCTCACCACCCCTCACCACCCCTGCAGCTCTCTTCAGGCACCAGCCCCACTGCTATCTCCTCAGCTACTGAGCACCCGGGAGTTCTCACTCCTCCCTGCCCGGACTCCTTGGTTTTGATTCTCAATGTTTATCTCCAGACCTGGCTCACAGTCCTGTTGCTTTATCTCAAAATTGCAAGGTTCAAAACACTTATGCTTCACCCAAATGGGCCCCCAGTGTTCCCTCTTTCAGTGAGAGAACTCATTATTCCTTGAGTTACCCAAGCCAGAGCCCTAACTTCACGCGTATCGAACCCATCGGAACAGGCCCTGCCTGGTCTGCCTCCCACCGGTTTCGGCCCCGTCTGCCGCCGCCAGCGCCTTGTGCCGGGCCGCCAGGTCACAGCAGCCCAGCACCCTCCACAGCCTCCCACTCTCTGAAACCCACTTTCACCGGGGCCTGCACAGCCCCCGTGATCTGCAGTTTCTCTGCATGTCCTGTCTCTGCCGCTGGGACACATACAGCCTCCTGAGCAGGGGCCTCAGCGGGCTGTTCCCTACTGTGTCCCTAGATCAGTGGCACCCATACTTGGTGAATGAACGAGTGGCCCCACTACCTCTTCTTGGGATTAGATTCTTCCAGAAGCAGTAGGATAGCTGTAGCTACAGCACCGCGGGCATGAGAAACAGCACTGAAGACCAGACCAAAGAATGGGACCCCAGGTGGCCAGAGAGGACTTACTCTCGCAGGTGCATCCACCCCACGTGGCATGAAGGAGGACGGGGGCAGCAGCTCTGGGCCTGTATTCACCGTGGGGGACAGCTTCAGGCCAGGACCACTTGGCAGGGCTCCAGGCTGAGGCAGGGCGCTGCTTGGGACCAGTACTGTCTGGGCCTTTTCCGGCAAGGGCCTCGTCAGGGAAGGGGCCACTGGCTGGGCCATGCCTAGGCCTTGCTCCCTCGGCGCCTCAGGCCTGAGCAGAGGGAAGGCAGGAGCTGGTCAGGCCTAGGTACCCTCCTGAGGAGCTGGAAGGAAAGGGGGCATCCACCCTCAGGCCCCAAATCGAGGTACCATAGGCTTTTGGGGGCCCAGGACCATACAACCTACCCCTGCCCCTCAAGGGTGCTGTACGCCAGGGGCCTCTGGCTCTGCAAGGGGTCCAGCAAGAAGTTTGGGCGTCGTGGCTGCTTCCTTGCCAAGCGGACAGCATTGCTGGGAAGAAACATGGGCCTGTTCCTTCCAGGCTGCCCAGGGCTGCAGGGGGCCTGAGACCTCTGTGGGGTAGGGGGTCATCGGTCCAACCGCTCCAGTCCCACAGCGAGACTGAAGGCCAGAGAGGAAGGGCTCCTGCCTAAGGTCAGCGGGTGAGCCGGGGTGGGCCTGAGCCATAGGGAACTAGCAATTCCAGTGGGGCGAATCTGGTGCCTCACCCACGTCATCTCATTTGAGCTTTACAGCGACCTTGGCATTGCAGTTGCTTGTCCCATGTCACAGGGGAGCAGGCTGGTCAGGGTCAGGGTATGAAGCAGACAGCGTAAGACTAAGGTCCAGGCCAGTGCCCCTCCCCACGGGTGACCTTCCCCAGGCCCAGGCAGCACTGGGCACTCTGGAAGCCAACAGCTGCATCAGCAGTCTGCTGGGATGGGGCTGGGACCAGGGCATAAAAAGTGGGGTGTCCAAGAGGGAGCCCTGTTTCCTGGATGTTGGGGGACACTGGCAGGTCTGGGGGCGGGAGGGCGGGACTGCCCTAATGCTCTTCCTCGTGTTGTGTCCTCTCCCTGAGCTCGGGAGGGACAGTCTGTAGGGACAGGTCCTGCTAGAGAGGAGTCCCAGCAGCTCAGCCATGGCCCTGAGGGAGGGCTACTCACAGCTCCGGGAGGTGCGGCTCCCCGGCATCTAGGGCCAGGCCACCCGGAGCTCTCTGCAGCTCATGAGGAGCTCGTGGCCTCTTGGTCTCCAGGGCGGCATCCCCAGCACCAGCAGCGATGTGGTTGGGAAGGGGACCCTTGAATGTCACCCTTCTGCTGGACACAGTGGATGAGGGGGGCTGAGGCGCCCTGCCTGGGCCCAGCACCTTCTGTTTCCACAGCATGGCACAGCGGTGGACTGCCCGGTGGAGGCTGTGGGCCGCCTGCAACAGCCTCTGTCAGGTCCTGCCATGGCCCGCCCGCCCCCCACTAGAAGGGCGGGGGACCCTGGGCCTACCTGCACCTGCTGCTGCGCATGCAGCTGCTGCCGGAGCGTCTTCACGCCGGCTGTGAACCGCAGGAGGCAAGTGACGCCCTCCTGAAGGAGCTGCTGGTGGTAGGCCTGCATGGCCCGCTCCAGTCTCGCCTTCTTCCTCCTCCTCTCCAGCACAAAACCCCGCCACGCAGCCCACACCTCCGGGGGAGGGGGGAGGGGAAGGTGAGGCCTGGCCCTCCCTGCTTAGGCTCCCCCAGGGGCTGTGCCCGCAGCCCACCCTGCCCTCCACCGAGACACAGTCCTCTCCCGGGAGCAGCAGGGCAGTGGGACGAGGAGCCCCCAGTACCTTTGCCTGCAGTGAGAGGGCCCAGAACCAAAGGGCTCGTGCCGTGCTCTGCTGCTCCTGCCTCCTGTTCGCCAGCTGTGGGCCAGAAAGGAGAGGTTACCGAAAAGCCACCTTCAGGGAAGCCACCCCAACCACAAGGCCCTGTCAGTCTCAGACCCCTCTCTGCCAGGCCTGAGGGGTTGGATCAGGGACTGATCCTCCGGCAGGAACAGAGGCAAAGGGCTCCAGGGGAGGGAGCCGTGGGGCGGCACGCTGGGCTGGCCGGAGAAAGGCTGGGGACATGTCCACATTGCGATCCGGGGAGCGAGAGGGACCCGTGCACATGAAGGTTTGCTGAGCAGCACGCAGTCCCGCCTTGCATAGACTCAAAAGCAACTCCCATTAATTTTTGCATTTACCCTGAAGTGTTTTTTTATTTAAGGTTTTGTTCATTTATTTTAGAGAGGGGAAGGTAAGGAGACAGAGACAGAGAGAAACATTGACGTGTGAGAGAAACATCGATCAGTTGCCCCCTGCGTGCATCCCACCTGGGGACCAGGCCTGCAACGCAGGTGTGTGCCCTGACTGGGAATTTAACCAGAGACCCTTCGCTTTGCACGATGACGCCAAACCAACTGAGCCACACCAGCCAGGGCCTGATGTATTTTTGAATGTGACACATAGGGTCCTGAAGTGACTTGGCCTTATATAGTCACGGGTGGGAGGAAGCTGGCAATGCCCAGAAATGCCGAGGTTGGGGTGGGGGGGGGGTGGGACAAGCCCTGGGGGAAGGGACTTCTCAACAGCTCCCACCTGCTGTCTCCACTGGCAGAAGCAGGACCGGCTGAGTGTGTGGGCCAGGAGTTGGGCGCCCCGCCTCTGCAGGAGCTGGGGAGAGAGGGCACAGAGGGAGCAGCCTGAGTGTCAGCAGGTGCCCCACACCCAGACCGCAGGCTCCCCACCCAAGAGAACGGTCTTCATGTCGCCAGGTGTGCTGTGTGAAGCCAGGGGCCTCCTGCACCAGGCAGGGGCTTCTAGATGATTCCACAGGTCCTCCGCCCGAACAAGCCATGACGCAGACTGAACTGGGTTTCTCTGCTGAACCATCATCCATCCACCAGTGGGAGAGCCAGTCGGAGGCTAGAGTCCCCCAAGCCATCCCAGAAAGGCTCGGGCAGCCTTGCGCCCACAGGACCTCAGGCCACCCAGCATCCACACTGGCTGCTGTGAGTTCTGCAGGAAGAAGGACCCCTTCCTCCCTGGGAGGTGGTCTCCTGGCCTGGATGGCTACACCGCACAGGGGAGCTTGGGGAGCTGCTGCCTGCCTCACCTTCTTCCTGACACAGCCCAGGTGATGCAACTTCCAGCGGGCCAGGCCCTGCAGCAGCAGCTGCCGACGGTAATGCTGCACCGCTCTCTCCAGCTGGGCTCGCTGCTGGGCTGCCCTCCGGCCACAATCCCGCCAGCGCCGAAACCAGGTCCTGAGACGGCCTAAGGCAGTTAGTTCCGAGTCAGTTTGCTCTTTCGAAGGATCTACACGAACTACGTCAGGGGCAGGGTTTTAGAGAGCAGAGTGGAGAAGGCTGTGTGGGGAAGTTGGGGTGTAGTGGGGTGCGCCCACTGCCCAGTGAGACCACCATGCACGGATTTTCCTCTGCGGACAGCTCTGGCCACCGTTAGCAACTGTGAGCTCCCTGGGCATTGGAAGCAGGTCTGTGTTTGCTGTCATGACCTGCCCGAGAGCCCACCAGAGCCACAAGGACCGCCGTGTGCCAGGGCCCCCAGAGTGCCTGATGCTGCCGGACGACCCAGAAGTCTGACAGGGTGAGAGGCGGTGGCCCTGTCTCGCCGGGGAGGAAACCGAGGCTCAGCAGTCCAGCAGCCTGAGCCAGGCAGGGCCCACGCCCTGCATTTGGTGTCTGTCACTAGGTTCCCTCTGGAGGAAACACCCTCCTCTGTTTTCATTGTTTTGTTTTTTACTCTGGATTTCTTCCTTTTCTTAGGCTCTGAGAGAAGAGCACTGATGCCCAGATGGGGTGCCCTCCAGTGCCTGCTGGGGGAGTCGGGGGGCAGCGTTCGCAGCCTGGAGGCCAAGCATTAGCACTGAATGCTGACACCTCTGGGCCCTGCTCCAAGCACATGTACATTAGTCTCACTGGGTCCTCGTAACAACCCCCGAGAGACAGGCAGCATATCCCCACTTTACAGATGGAGAAACTGAGGCCCAGAGCCGAGGACTCGCCCCAGGCGGCACAGCCAGCGCTTGACTCCGGCCTGCACTCTGTAAACACTGTTTTAACAATGACGCCTCGCTCCTAGTCGGTCCTCCTCCAGCCCCAGGCCCGTGCTCGCACTGCCAAGGTGTGCCCACAACAGCGAGGCCTTCACTGAGCCAAGAAACGGCCCCACGGGTGTCGAATGCACATCTACAATGCACTGAGAACAGTCTCAAGTCTCCCACGTCCCTCGTCCCATCCTTAGCGGACGTGGCAGTCCCAGGGCCTGCCGTGCGCCCCAGTGACGTGTCTATAAGCCAGGGAACAGCGAGGACCGCTGCGGGCCCTGGAAGCTGGAAGAGCCATGGGAGGATTCTTCCTAAGCCTTCCAAGGGAGCACGGCCCTGGCAGCACCTTGCTCTTGGAACTGGCCCCCAGAGCCCCAAGAGAACAGTTTTCTGATGTTCTAAATGTCCCAGTCTGTGGTGCTGTGTCACCTCAGCCACAGGACAGTAGTGCACAGGAAGGGGTCAAAGACTCACGGGAGGCAAACAGCACAGCCTGACAGTCCTGGGCCCTTCCCAATCCCCTCCTCACCGCCGGGGCCCCACTTACCCCCATCCAGCACCTTCCGCGCCTCCCGGAGGGCGCAGTGCTCCTGCTGTCGGTAGTATATCTGCACTGACGCGGCCTCCCGCCACTGGGCCAGGACCTAAGGGGCAGTGAAGAACAGAGAGGTGACCACAGCATGTCCTGGCGTCCTGGGGACACCCAGCTCTGCCGGCAGCCCCTCAGGGAAGGAGGCCGAGTGGCGGACACGTGACGCTGAGACACATCCCTGGGAGGACACACTAGAAGGAGTTAGACGTCATTCTGCTGTACTCCGTTACACGGAAACTGCACGTTACACGCACTCCTTCGTATGACAGATGAAATCACACTAACAGAACACTTTAAAAAGGAGTCAGGCAGCCAAGGGATGCCTGGTTGGTGCCTGCTCCCCAAACCGTCACGAACTCCACTCGCCCCAGAAAGGCCTCCTCCCTTCTGAGCCCTGGAGCCAAGCAGAGTCCTGACCCCACTCCCGGAGCACGGGGACCACACGCTGGCCACTGGCCGCGGCGCTTTCCTGCGGATAGGCTGGGCCTCGGCCGTGCGCACTCGCTCTTCCTCTCCAGACACTTCTGAGCTGTTGGGAGTGGCCCGGCCTGCCAGCCGGGCTCCAACCTGCGGCTGTCTGCCACAGCGCCCCGAGTCCCGGGACCACCTCTGCCGTTTCATTTGTTTTGAGTCCCTTCTGTCTTCTTCCCTCAGCCACATCCTACCACCCACTCCCCTCTCCCAGTGCATGGGGACCAGACCCCACCAGGTGGTATTTTGGGGCCACTTCCCACCAACGGTGACCAAATGGGGTGCTCCACACTTTCCAGAAAGTCCCGAGGCCAGACACCCTGCGAGGCTGATGAGCAGGGGCGGGCATCCCCTTCTGGCCGCTGTGCAGACGCGGCGATGAAACAGTCTGTCCCAGGGGAAAGTCCACGTGCGCAAAATGCTGGCTCTGACACAAACTACTCACTACGTGCTGTGTTCTGCTTTAATAAATACTGGTTCATAATTAAGTAAAATAAATAAAACCCAACGGCTCACCTGGCTCTGGAGGAGGACAGTCATCCCGTTCTCTAGGTTCCTTGTTCCGTTCAAATCCCTGGCACCGCCGCCCTCACCGCCCAGCCGCCCCGCCCGGCCCCACCCCGCAGGAGCACAGTCCCAAACCCTCCTGGGGGACCGGCTGGCCTCCCCGGGCCTCACCTTGAAACACAGGGCCCTTCTGTAGTGAGCTCTCGCTCGAGAGGTTTTCTTAGCTTCATCCACGCGGGCTACGGTGTTCTCTCTCCAGCGATGGAACACATCCCTGCAGGTGCACAGGCCGGGACGGGGGTGGTGACACTAGTGTGGAGAGAGCGCGTGAGGCTTCTGTGACCCACTGCTGGTCCTTCAGCCCTCCCCGGAGTCGAGGACACGCTGTGCCGCAGGGCGTCCCTTTCACCGATGTTTACGCTGACGCAGACGTGCAGCTCTCGGTTGCTGAGCACCTGCCGTGCCAGGCACGGGGACATCGTGGTGACCAGGCCCAAACACCACACCCTCACGCAGCTAGGTGCTACGGGGAATGCCAAGTCACAGCCAGGCACTGGCAGGCCGGTGACTCATGCAGTGATGAGGGAGCTACACAGACCGGGCGGCTGGAGGGAGGGCACCGGGACCTCGGCACCAGGCCCGCGGCTGAGTCAGTCCAGGGGCTCCCTCCTTCCGCGCCCCTGCGAGGAGCTGAGTGGGCACTTCGTGGGACCCCGAAGGAGGGACGGCCGTGTTTCAAGTCCACAAGGCCCACCGCCCACAGGCAGCCTGGAGAAGGAAGGCAGGAGTGGAAGGAGGGAGGCCTGCCGGAGGAGCGAGTCCAGAGCTTGGCTCGGCAGGAGCTGGGGGACCGGCTCACGCGGGAGCTGGAGCCGGGGCAGGTGACCTCCATGCGTGTCACAGACGCAGAAGGCCCTGAAGATGGGAAGATGACTCTGGAGAGTCAGTGAAAGGCCTGGAGAGCCAAGAGGGGAGGCAACCGACTGGGAACTGAGGCGAAGGGAGCCACTGCAGCTTCCAGAGCAGGACAGGAGGAGCTAAAATGGTGCCTTGAGAAGTGAATCTGTCCGGTCTGAAAAGGGTGGCGGGGGGAGCGCTCAGAGGAGCAGGACTCGCGGGAGGTCGGAGCGCTCAGAGGAGCAGGACTCGCGGGAGGTCTCACAGACACCCAGGTGAGAGCTGCTTCCCTGAGGACCCACTGTGCACACAGCAGGGGCTCGAGACGTAAGAGGTGAACCAGCGAACGGGGCGCCTGCTGTGGAAAAGCCAAAGCTACGCTGTGAGCGGCACAGAGCAGCCAGGCCCGCCCTGCGCTGGCCCTGGACAAAGCCCCCATCCTGCCTGGGTCTGGAGTCTGCTCCCCGGTCCTCGGGCTGAGCCTGGGAGACGCTGGGAGACTCACCGCAGCAGCTGCCTCTTGTGCTGGCTCTCCCTGGCCGCCACCTCCTGTAGGACGCTCTGCACCCGGCTCTGGTAAGTCTGTAGGAGACCAGGACTGGAGGCCACCCCTGGGTGCTATCCCCAGGCAGGCCTCAGAGGTTCTCGGCGCGGACTTTGATGCTAACAGCACTCACCAGAGGGAAGGGAGAGGCCAAAGGCCCCAGGCCAGGAGACCACCCACACAACAGGGAGGGGACTGTCTCACCAAGTCCTCACCTCCTAAGTCAGACCCCTGGACTGCTGGACCAGGGGCCGCTTTGAGAGTAAGGCTGGGGTCCCCAGACAGCATTTGTTTTTACTTTTCTTGTTTGTATTTTCCGAGCAAGTGTGGAAGAACTCAGCCCTGTGGCTGAGACCCACTGTCCAGGGCGCTTGTTCTGTTTGAGGGTGGTGGGATTACTCTTTTGTGAGCGGGGCAGGAAGGACAAAGAAGGGAAACAGAGTCTTCAGGATTCCCCTCCCCCAAAGGCAAGCCCAAGAGGGGAAGGCAGCAGCCCCTACCCCCCAAGTCTGCAGCGCCCTGAGTTGCAAGGTGTGCTGGTGATGCAGGTCTGCTCGCATCAGCTTCTGCCGCTCGGCGCCCCGCAGGGCCAGGCACTGCGGGCAGAGGAGAGAGCCGGCCTCGGAGGGCCGGGAAGGGCAGGCTCGGCTTGGCCTCCTTTTACACGCAGTTTGGCTGAGCCTGGGTGAGGATCAAAACCTGGGAGCCCGGCTCCCCACCTAGAAACAGGTGCCTTGAGGGGGTTTGTGGTGATTACATGGGGCCAGTGCCCTACTTATAACACTGCAGCAATGTCGGCACAAACGTCTTTGCTCAGAGCAGGGTGGGTGTCGGTGGCCAGACTGGGAATTTCAGATTCAGTGAGAGCTCAGCAGAGAACAGCCTCGCCCGTAAGAGAACACGGCATTTGAGCCAATCGTCTCATGGAACCAGGCTAACATTCTTCATCTGCTGCCTGGCCTCTTCCCTACGCTCCGAGGCAGGTGGTTTCAGAGGGACTGGGGAGCAGCCCGTATGGCTGCTGAGTCACGCCAACACACAGCTCCACCTGTCCGCAAGCCACATGTGAGTGGCACCTGTGCCAAGCCTCACCTCTGTCCACCTGTTCCAGGCCCAACGCAGGAGCCGTGCCGAGTGGAACTCTGCAGCCAGCACCACGCCCGTCTTCCTGTGCGGGGAGAGTCAGAGCTCAGCGCTGCAGCCCAGCGCTGGCTGGGGCCCTCCCCGCGGGGGGGCTGGGAGGGGGGACCTCACCATCCCGCACTCCTGCCTGGCGGTTCTTAAATCTGCAAGAGAGTCAAGATTGCTCCAAACAGCTGCCAAAGGACTGGGGCTGTCCACCCGGGACAGTGCATGTGTAATCATTTTCCCAGACTGCCTCACGGGGCTTCAAGTACCACCGAAGCCTGTTCACGTGCAGGGGACCGTGCAGGTTAAAGGCGGCCAGAGCCTGAGAGGTGGGGGGGCCTCACAGCACCAAGTGGATGCAGAAAGCCACCAAAGCAGGACAGTGTCTGCAGTGCCCCACCAACCAAACGGTGTGGTGAAAACTGCCCCACCGTGCCCGCTGGCCACAGCTGCTGCCCCTGGGGAGGGGCCCAGTTATGCCCCAACAAGCCCCTTAGTCTACTCCTTGGCCACGGTCACTCCGCATGGGCTCCGAGCAGCGATGGGGGTGCAGCCTGTGGACGGGACTCCAGGTCCACAGGCATGTTTGTCCCCGTCACGCTCCGGGATCCTCTCGCCACAGCCCTGGTTTCACTTAGGCTGCTTTAGACTGAAATTTCCAGAACTTAAACCCAGAGCCCAGGCTAACACGACCTTCTGGCCGGGCACTCAGATCTGATGGTGCTGCCCCTGTGACCAAAGCCGGGCCGAGACGGGAAAAGGTTCTGAGGCGGAAGAGCCCACTCACTCTGATCTGAGCCCTCGGGCTCGCTCCCTCCACGTGGCGAAGGCCTTCCGGAGCCTCCCCCCGCGGTGGTGGGCCCAGGCCACCGCTTGCCGCTGCCGCTCCTGGCTATATGCTGCCGCCTGCTGCCGCCACGTGTACCAGGACCTCCGCAGAAGCTGCCGCTCGGCGTGAAGGATGGCCTGTCGCAGGGCAGAGGGCAATGAATGGGTCGAGTAGGAGGGGACACGGAAGCCAGAAGAATCCAGAGGCTACAAATAACGACCGATGGAAAAGAAGGGACGCCCGGGAGCCAGCTGCCCTGGCCCAGAAGCCACAGTGCAAAGAGAACAGACGCCCCAGACCCGGGCCCCTCTTGTGCCGCACGGGCAGACTGTCCTCCAGCGAGGGTCTGGGCTCCGGGCGGTGTCCTCGGGGGGAGTGAATGCAAAGGCCTGAAACGGGCCCTGCGCATCCCAGGTGCCTCCTCGGGGAAAGCCACTTACTATTCTCTCTGCCAGGCGGTTTTCCTGATGCCGAAACATCTTCTGCCACCAAATAGCAAATACTTGCTTCTCTAGTGTCTCCCTGTTAAAAGTAATAGTAATAATTATAGCAGTAATAGTAAAGCACTTAAAATTAAACAACTAAAAAAGAATGGAAAGTTCCATTGGATTTTTCCTTTGACACTGTGCTATAAAGAGGCAAATAAGCTTAGAGAGGGAGAAAGAAAGGGAGAAGAAAAGGAAAGCAGAAAACAGTGGGCAAAAAACCCACAAACAATGCGATGCTTTCCAAGTACTTCTGGCGTCAGCCAGGCACACAGTCTGAAAAAGACCCCAACATTGAGACCCTTGTTCTTCTGCAATGCCACGCTGAATTGCCAACAGTGACCAACGATTCCAGTGAAAGCTGTCCCGGTGCATGCTGACCAGCCAGGACACAAATCCTTGGGGCCAGTGGCTTGAAAGGGATGCCTGGCCCCAGGGCTGACCGAGAAGGTCTGAGGCCACCCAGGAGGCGGCATTTACAACCCACGTCCCAGGGGAGGTAGACGGGGAGATAGGTTTAGCCACCACTGCTCTGTTGCCGCAGCCTCAGCCCACCTGCTCACCGTCACGAAGTCAAAGCCTGCAAAAGCGGTGCTGGACAACTGGTCAACAGCCACCAGGGGCTGTGCACTGGCAAAGCCATGTGCTCTCATTTAAAATAAAAAATACTGTTAGAAAATGAAAAGGCAAGCCACATACTGGAAGATGATATTTTCAATACGTATGTGTATCTGACACTGGACTTGTGTCTAGACTATATGAAGAACTATATATCAATAATAATAAAAAGACACATAACCCAATGCTCTAAAAGCCAGAGAAAAGACTTCAACGGGCACTTCACAAAAGATAAACTGACAGTCGATAAACACGTGATAAAAGACTGAAAGAGTCAAAACTAGAGCCACCGCACCGCTTCGTCGGATGGGCAGGACGGACGCAGGGAAAGCAGGGGCCAGGCGACGGCGTCTCCCCCGTCACCCGGCAGCTGTAATGCCACGGGGCGTTACAGCGCCCGGACAAGCTCTGCTGCTGTCATTTGTTCCCGAGGATGCTCACCACGGGACTCCCAGTGAGCGAGTCCCCGCTTCTCGTCCCTCCCAATCCTGCCTCAGAAACAGCAACCAACCCCACACTGGCCCCTGTTCCTCTTGGACACCCCCCCAGAGTCCTTCAGAGGGGACCCGAAGCTTGCAAGCTCCTCTCCCACGGGTCGAGCAGCACTCTGGAGGAACTCCGGAGTTCCCCCATCGGTCTGGCTTGGTCGAACAGCTGGCTTTTGTTCCTAGCTGATCGGCTTCAGTGATGCTCGCGTCGTTAGTCTTCGGGGAGAGGAGCGCCCACGCCCACCAGAACAGCTAAATGAGAAGGGCTGTCAAAACCAAATGCTGCAGAGGGAGTAGGGAGACTAGAATTTTCATATTTTCTGGTGGGAACATAAAATGAACGTGACCACCTATAACCACGTGCTAGGTATCTCTTCCCAACGAAATGAGAACAGTCCACGAACACAAATGTTCACAACAGCTTTAATTGTAATGGCCTCAACCCAGGAAACAACTCCTATTTTAAATGGATCAAAATATTGCCCCAGAATACTACTCAGCAACAAAAGACTGAACTGCTGATAACACGCAACATGGCTCAGTCTCAAAAACATTCCACCGAACTTTAAAAGAAGCCAGATGCCCTGGCGGGGTAGCCCAGCTGGGTGGAGCAGCATCCCGATACGCCAAGGTTGTGGGTGCGATCCCCACGAACATCCGTCCATTACCTACAGGATCAGGCAACGCCCTCAGCCTGGTCTTCCTCATCCTGCCCTCTCCCTCCCTCCGTCCTGTCACCCCCTCGGCTCACAGCCACGCCTCCCCCAGGTTCCAGCCTCAGCACCAGCTCTGAGCTCCAGACCTTGTGGCTGGCTTAACTGAGGACACAAGGATCTGCTCTCCTGAACTGTTGTTCTTCAGTTGCTTCTAGTGTGACAGCCTTATCTCCCACAAAGTCATTAAAAAGATCTTCCTCCTCCTTGGACTTTGGAATCAAGGAGCTCTGAATTTCAACCCTGGCTCTGCTAATTACTGTTTGTAATCAGTTTGTAATCACATGGGCGAGTCACGTATCGCTCTGAACCTGTTCTCTCAGGACGGCTGGCAGAAGGAAATTATTAGGGAAGATGATGGTGTCACAGGCCAGTGAGTCCACCTTTCTCCCATCACGTCAGGCCTAGCATAGTGGCAGACACGGAGTTAGCGATGAGTCATTTCATTACATTCCACGTACATCTTTGCCCCACTAGCAGCCAAAAAGATGCAGTTCTGCTCCTTGTCTGTCCTAATTTCACAACTTCAAAAAACCAGGTCTAGCAGAACAGGAACAAAACGTTTCACGGAAATCACACTGCAGAACGCCTGCCAGAGCAATGCAAGGTCGACCACACCGATCCAGAGAGCTAGCAGGCAGCTCTGATGGAGCTCACTGTGGCTTGAAATGACGGAAGGGGCATAAAACCCAGGCTGTTTTGAAAGCATTCGCAATAAAAATGAACAAAAGTTTTCCCAGGGGGAAAATACTGGCTGTCTTCCTGCCAGATGGAATCAATGCAGGCACATTACAGAGAAACCAGGGAAAACCTGGGCCTATGGGCCTGAGAGGCTGAAAGGCAAAGCAAATGGCTGTGTGGGCGGCAAAATCAGACCCCAGGCGCCCGCCCCCGCTGCACACCTGTGGAAGCGCGCTGCTCTCGCGTTGAGGACACTCTCTTGCTCGCGCCACCGCCAGAGTCTCCTCCACGCCTGGAAGGCTGCGGGCAGGGCTCTCTGCTGGAAGTGACTGTCCGCTCGGGCCTGTAACAGCTAAGGTAAAACAATCGATGACCATTATTTGTACTTTACATTAAAAAAGAAAACGACCTTTCTGGGTCACACTTTTGAAGGAGGTTTGCTTCTTACACAAAATTGAGAAGAAGTTTAAATCATTTTTAATTTCTGCTCACATGATAGGGGAAAACTGTCCACTTCAATTAAAAGTGGGCTAAGCATCTCTTTGTATATGTATGTGTATACACATATATTTATAATTATCTAAGTTTTTCTTTCTATGGCCTAAGTGTTCACACCCATCGGGAGGGCACACGAAAATAACGGGGGCAGGTTCGCTTGGTGTCGCCCTGTTGAACGGCCAGGCGCGGCCAGACAGAGGCACGCATCGTCCCATGCCGCACTGCGGTGCCCGTGCAGACGCCACCAGTCCCCCTGAGCCTGAATGTGGCCTCGAAATCCTTCTCGGGTCAGCACTCCAGACAGCCACGCACCATTGGAGCTGGCCTGCAAGATCCCTGGGGCTGAATTACAAGCCCTCCGAGGGCAGCTTTGCCTGCCCTGTACCTCGGCTGCATCCTCAGTGCTTGGCAGTGCCTGAGGCACAGCAGCGGCTCACCAAGTCCTTCTCAAATGGAACAGAATCCGTCTTTCTCGCCCGGCCTTCACCAGCCCGTCAGCCTGACCCCCTCCTCCCCCCGCCCACTGTGGGTCCCCGTGTCTCACACTGGTTAGCACAGGGGTGTGGCACTTATGTTCTGCACTTTTCCCAGTATCTTCTGAAGGTCCCGCTGGGCAATGGGTAGCTGACTAATATAATAAAGGAATCTGAGTAAAGAGGTACATGGAATGAACGGCCACTGAGAGCTCATCACTTTCAGAGAACACCCACATTTTCAAAGCAGATGGAGGAGTGGGAATTACGCAGACTTTCCGACATCACTCGACCTCTCTGGGGGAAATATCTTTCAGTTTTTACAGCACCCTCTCTTCCAAATCTGAACACCAAGACCTCTTGGCATGGGCCTTTTCCAAGAATTTTTCCAAAGCAAATGGATCCAAGAATATAAGCCAGCAGAGGCATCTGCTACGAAGTACTCCATACCTGCTTGTATCGCCTCTTCTGGGTATGTTGCAACCACTGCCTGGTACACTTGCGCAGCAATGTTACTCTGAAATACAACACAGCACACCAAGGTACTGCCCATCCCACTTCCAGGTTTGATTTTACATTTTTACTTCGTTTTTGAGACAGGTAAATTTGGATGTAATTAAACTTGAGTGTTAAAGACAATCCTGATTTCGGACTGTGGCTTGCCCAGAAATGTTAACAACTTTCTTGTAAACCTAACTAGACCACCAAGCGCAGCATCTCTGGAACTAAGGTAATAGCGTGAAACCCCCCAAATACCCTTCTTGTTCTGAGGCTGAGCTCTGGGGCTTGTTTATGACCACGGTGCTCCTTCACACAGTGATTCTGAGAATGAGAACCACACTCAGTTTTGTAAACCAGGACTTAGAATAACATACCCTGATAACTCCAAACTAAGTCTGTTAAACACTGGGGTTCTGACTTATTAAAAAATGTTCCCAAGTTAAACTTATAATGATGCAAATTAAGTGCATTAAACTGGCTTCTTTTAGGTGGCGGGGTGCAGTGAATAGTGCTCACCTCTGAAGAGTAAGGCTAAGGGGTTGGAGGAAAAGCGACCCAGGTAGCTTTTATTTAACTCTCTGCCTTCCTTCCTACACACTGGCTTTTCCTCACAGACATGTGGTGCATTCATATATTTATTTTAACACAACAATTAACTCTAAAAAATTGAGGACACGCTCTGCACCGTTCAAGACCACGCCACAAATATTCATCCGGCCTGAGCCTTCTCTTGAACAGCGTTAATGCATGAATTCTACGACACAAATGTTACTAAAGCTGGAACGACTGAGGCAGCGAGCTAGCAGGCACACACTTCAAACCCCGGTGGCCAAGAACCAGTACAAATATTCCCATTCTGCCTCTCCTCTGATCAGCCAAAAGGGAAACACAAGGTGAGGAACAATGGCTAGTATAGCGGGGCCCTTCTGAACCTGCTGCCGTAACACATGGAAGGCTAAGGGGTCACTCCCGGGGAACAGTGAGTCTGTCACCGCGGGTCCCTGGGAGCCCACGAAGAAGGCCGAGCCCCCACCTGTAGTGGTCCCAGGCGGCACGCAGGAAGGGCAGCTGCTTTCTTTCCTCCCTCTGCTCAATCCGAGACTGCCAGAGGTTCCAGAACCTGCGCAGCAGCTGAAACAAAACAGGAGGAAAGTGGGAGTTTATAAAGGCAAATTGATCTCTCTTCACCTACTAGTTAGGAAACCCCTACATCGAAAGGTTGTGAGGTCCCCCGAAGCAGGAATGGCCTCAGTTTGGAGCACCCAGCATGGAACAGGCCTGCAGAAGGGCTGTGGAGAAGCTACGTGGAGCTATTCTGGGTCAACACGAAAAGCAAACGAAGGCTCTTCCAGTCTATGGAGATCAGAAGCTGTTTCTTCTAACATGGGCCTTGCGGGGGACATGCCGCTGCAGAGACCGGAAGTGATCCCATCACATAGTGCTGCCTGTGGAGCAGTCTTGCCACAAAATGTGTAACTTCAATCTAATGCAGCCCTTAGATGTAACAACCAGTTATAGCAGTTACAAAGAACAAAGGAAAATCAAATGACATCAAAAGGAAACAAACAAATAAACTTAGAATACAGAAAACTGTACAAAATAACCAGCCTTCCTTTTCAAAAAGTCAGTGTCATAAGAAAATAAAAAGTGTGCCCTGAGCTGAGTGAAGTGAGCCAGTCACAAGAGGGCTGATACCGTAAACATAAGGCACCCGGAGACGTCCCGTTCACAGAAAGAGAAGGGAGAACGGTGGCTGTCAGGGGCCGGGGGAGGAGGATGGGAGTCCCTGTTCAATGGTACAGGGTTCCAGTTTTGCAAAATGGAGAAAGTCCTGGAGACGGAGGGTGGTGATGGTTGTGCAATGGCGTGAATGTGCTTAATGACTGAACTGTACACTTAAGAATGGTTAAGGTGATAAGTTTCATTATGTGCGTTTTACCACAGTTTAAAAAAGAAATAAACATGTTAAACAAAAAAAGAGAGGAGGAGGGGGGAGATTGTTATTAAGAGCCTTAAGAGACAACCAAATGTAGTGAATAATCAGTCCTTAATTGAAAAAAGTAAAAACAGCTATAAAGACATTTTGAAGGAAAGTCAAACACGGGCTGGGCACTGAATAATAGGGAGATGGCTGTTCACTTTGCTAGGGATCGTAATGCTAATGGGTTACATAAGAATACATTCTTTTTGGGCGATGCATGCTTAAGTGTTTAGATGTCAAGCGTCATGATGTCTGCTATTTATTTTGAAATGATTCAGAAAAAAGGAGGTTGCCCTGGCTGGTGTAGCTCAGTGGATTGAGTGTGGACTGCGAACCAAAGGGTTGCTGGTTCAATTCCCAGTCAGGGCACATGCCTGCGTTGCGGGCCAGGTCCCCAGCAGGGGGCACATGTGAGGCAACCACACATTGATATTTCTCTCCCTCTCTTTCTCCCTCCCTTCCCCTCTCTAATAAATAAAATCTGTAAAAAAAAAAGGAGGTAAATATAACAAATATTACCAATTGTTGAATTCAGATGGTATTATATATAGCTGCTTATTACACTAGTGTTCATATTTTTCTATACATTTAAACATTCTCATAATTAACAACAAAACAAGTAAACACCATCCCTGTACACCCAGAAACACAATCTACAAGAAGAGACAGAACGCCTGTTGCCCTCAGGCAAACCAGCCCCCGCAGGGAACAGACTGACAGAGCAGACACCACCACAGACACCACCGAAACCTCCCAGAAGGCAGGCTCAAACCCCATTCCCCAGGTCAGGGTCAGAATCCATGGTCCCTGACCTCTGATTCAAGTACCAATTCTCTTAGCAAACAGATAAAAAAATGGGATTAAACAAGGCAATAACAAAGGTTTCTCTACTGGCTGGTATGGACTTTAATAGTCCATAATAGTCCATTTCTTTAATAGAAAATGGACACCACGGTTTCAGAGCCTACAGGTCAGGGGACAAATCTGTAAGCACAAAAGGCTGAAAAAAGAGTGGCCGTCAGGAGAAGTCCCTTGATACAGGAGGAGACCCTCACCATGGCACCATGCTGCTGGTGAGCGAGATTCCTTCTGATTCGTTGCAGGTGGGCCCGGGTCACGTTGTCTTTCAGGGCTCTGAAGCAAAGGTGCTGTGAAAGGAAGAAAGGACACGACAGGGCACAAATCAGGCTTGTCTGTAAAAATAATAGCAGTGACAAGAAGCTCAATCACAGCTGGTCACAGCTGTCCCCCTGTGCCCGAGAGTGTTTCTCTGCTTGAGTCCCAACAGGAGCCTGCCACAAGCCAGGCCTCGACCCCACCCCCCGGTGTCCACGGCAACTCGCAGGAACGAACACACCCTGACCTCTGACCAGGGCACATCCCCTGACCCAGATGGGAACACTGCAGACGAAGGTCAAAAACACCAGCTTAGCCTCTCACAAAAGAGACAGACTTGTAGTCTATGATGTTTTGTTTTGTTTTTTGACCATGTGGGGTCAATGTGCATACTTGCACAATCATAAATGCAGTTTTGCGAGAGTAGAATAGAAGGGAGAGAAGGAATCCGTGGGGAGTAGGGGGGGTCGAGGCAGAAGCAGGACACGCAGGCCTGGCTCCAGCTCCGTCAGCGCCTCACACGTGGTCCCAGCAAAGCCCATGCTCCCCCGGCCCCGGGCTTCAGTTTGCCGAGACAGAAAAGCGATCAGGGGTTCCCACGCTGTGCTCTGGGGAACTCCACAGGATGCTCAAAGCGCTCTTGAGGGCTGGGGAGAGAACAGGCACTGCTCCCCGGACCTCGATTCACCCTCAGCACTGCTGCTCTGGCCAACTTCACAGACCAGACTTCCACCGCTAAACCGGGGGCCCACCATGTGAGACCAGATCATCTCTAAGATTCCTTCGTAGCTCCAGTCTCCTCTGACCCCACACCATTACCATCTCTGACCCCAAATGACAACAGGGACACCCACAATAAAGGAGAGCTTCATGACTGAAGCTCACCACAGGACCAGGGGCACTGGGAGAGCATGACGTGGGTCCGGAACCCCAAGAAGGGATGCTGGAGCAGGGCTGACACACTTACCAGCAAGCGGCGCCTGCAGTGCTCCTCCGCCATCTTCCACTGGGCGGCTGCTTCTGCACACAGCAGCACGTCTGCAGGAGTTAAGGCCTCTGATCTCAACAAGGTTGCCACCCCCACATGGTACAATCCCAGTGACCCGTCTGAAGGGGAGCACAGGATACGCAGATGGGCTGATGGTCCCCTGTCCCCTCCTGATGACCCAAGGACGAGTGGACGAAGGGATTCCACGCGAGTTACTTCTCAAACAGCGGGCCTCACCTTTCTCTCCTCTGATGCCCTTTTCATAAGAGGCAAAGACCAGCTGAGAGAAACTGCCAACCACTGCCCTAAGCATGTCCAAATCGCCGTATCTAACACAGAACTTCTCTCTCCTGCATTCTCTGTTCTGGCATCACAATCCAGTCAGATGTTTCAGCTAAAAAACCTTGGACTTATTTTCAGGGCTTTTCTCCTCCCACTCCTGCCATCTACTCAGTCGCCGAGTCCGTCTGCTCTCCCCCTAAATCTCTCCCGTCCCTCTGTCCCCGCCCCCAACACCCTGCAGTTCACGGGACTTGTCCCTCATACAGACTGGCGAGACAGCCACCTCACATAGCTGGCGTCCCTGTGCTAGCTGCGCTCCTCTCATCTAGGTTTGCCCTTCCAGAGTATAAACCTGCCGTGCTCCTTCTGGAATAATTCCGGAGGACCCCCAGTGCTGCCGAGAGAAAGCCCAAATTCCTGACCACGGCCCACAGAGGTCCCCAGTCAGCACCCACCTACACGACCCCACTGCCGTCCACCCCCCACACGGGTCACTACGGACCCGTCACCACCCTGGAATGCTGTCCCTCATCTACGCCCGTGCAAGTGCCACTCCCCCCGCCGGAAACAGCGCCCCGAGTCCGCCGCTGGGCGACGGTGCCATCCCCTAAGACTTCAGTTCGGCTCAAACATCTCCTCGGCTGGATCACCACAGCAGCTCTCGCAGGACGTGATGTAAACCTTTACCACAGCACTTCTCACGTCACACTGTAAAGATTCGTTTTCATGTCTATTGCCCCCACTAGACAATGAACAACTGTCAGTCTTCGAGCTTCCGCACATTCCGGAACTGAGGCAGGAGTTCAGAACAGCGCAAGAGTGTGATAAACAACCGAGGGTGCGGATGCACGTCCCAGGCAGTCTAAACCCCCACACCCGGGCACACACTGTGGCAGGTGTGGTGCGCACTGGACTCAAAGGCCAGGGCTTAAAAAATCCTGGCTCTGCCAGTGTCTCGCTGTGAGTTTGAAAATTACTGAGTTCCCCTGAATCTGCTTCCTCCTCTGTGAAGGGAACGTGGCGATGCCCACGCCACAGGGCTGCTGTGAAGACTAAGGGGATAAGGCAAAACGCATGCACACAGTACACGCTCCATAAACGGAAGCTACGATCGCCACGGTAGATCCGCCAAGAACAGAGGGCTTTCTAAAACAGACGTGAAATAAAACAAATTTCTGAGACAGAAATGGCTATGGCTATTTCCCCCACCTAGTGGGGAGAAAGGCTACAAAACTGTAACATAAAATTCAGCACAGTAGCATAACCTCCGAGGAGGAGAGGCAAAGGGAATACAATCAGAGAGGAGCAGACGGGAGCTAGCAATGTTCTATTTTTTAAGCTGACTGGTGGGTACATAGGTGTTCATTTAATTATTATTTTTTAAACTGTAAATATGCTATACATCCTGTTTTGTATGGATACTCCCAATCAAAAAACCTTAAAAGAAATCAAGAGAGATCGGCACTATTAAATTGTTCAGTAATTGTTTCCTATGTGTCTCCTGATTCTTGCTGTACAGGATGCTGAGCTCACTCTGTCCTGGCTGAGGGGGCAGACAGGGCTGGGAGGCTGGAAAGGATACAGTGTTTCCAGTGCGTGAAGGCCCGACGCAGCACCATCCTTCTGGCCAGGGCTTCCACCCGTGCGCGGTGAGCATGCAAACTCTCCCTCCGCTGCCAGGCCCACTGCCAGTCGCAGAAGTGTGTCTGGAGAACAGTGACGTGGTGGAATCGCTCGGCCAGCTCTGCAACAACAGAGAAAATAACAAGTTCTGACGCCCCTCAGTGAGCCATGAACTGGAAGCATCTTTAAGACAAGGTGAACCCCACCACTGGCAGACAGCAGGGGACTCAAGGCTGCTCTCACAAAGAACTCTAGAATGAATGTTTTCTAAGCAGGGGAAGGTTATTGGGAATCCCTTAGCTACCTCTCTTTTTTCCAAGAGAAAAGGTCTGGAATTTTAGGGAAGAGGATGCTACAAAATCAAAGAGCTGAGGCTCATAGTTATTACTGATGAGTAAGAATGGCAACTGCTGTTTTCAAAAGTTGGGTCTTGTTTTTGCCTCTTCACTGAGGTCTCCCAGATAGGGCTTCAGGGCCTGAGTCAATGACACACCATTCCGACAACATGCTGGCAAAGGCTTCTTTGGGCTTTCAGTCAGGCTGATGCAGGCTGCCAGCTCCATCTCCTTTTAACGCTAATTAGCTAATGGCCCGATGCGCTGAAGTGCAGGAAATGAAAGGGAGTCGGTCCTGACATTCAAATGCTGTAACTGGGGGAACATTAGCCTGCAGCTCACCGTTCCTAACAGCTCACTGCCTTCCCATTCGGGCTCGGGCAGCCAGGCAGTGGTCTCCTGTCACTAGTCTCAAACGGACACATTCAAACTCTCCCAAGAGACAGCCTTGGCAGCCTCGAGATTTCTGCAGAGAGGGCCCGGTAAAAGCTGGAATGCCCAACTCAGCATCTAGCATAGAGACTGAGTCACTTTTGCAGAGGCCAAAGAAACAACAGTATAGACGGTCCTGATGATCACGAGCTACATATTGTTACTTCTGAACTCTCACTGGGAAGTAAACCATTTGAAGAGTGTTTAAAAAAACTCAACATCATGAGTCACACACATTCACATAACTGAGGACAAACAGAAACAATCCAAACATCTGTCAACAGAAGAATGGCTAATAGACTAAGGTAAGCCATCCTATTAAACGTAACCATTAAAAAAATAACATTAATGAAGAATACTTAAAGACACGGGAAAGTGTTGGTAAGTTGTATGGGAAAAAGCAATAGACAAAATTACATACATCATATTAATCATAGTAACACAGTGGTTATAGGATAATTAAAACCCCATTGAATAAAATGTATGTATAGAAGACAATAAATGGGAATTGAGGATGATGGATTTTTCCTCCTCAACCTCCTTTTACCAAAATCCGTGGCATAGTACCATTATATCTCTCCTTAATAAATCAGCACCACTGGCAGAAGGAGAGTGGAAACTGTGACCCACCCCTCTGCCCTCCTGAGCCGGGACTTCCTGCTCACCCTTCCGCCGTCTCTTTACCCTCCGGGCCTGCAGGAATTCAAGCCAGGCCTTCAGGGATCTCAGCTTTTGCCAGTGCTGATGGTGCCTCACTGCGGAGGCCACCTTCTGTCTCTCCCCCTGGACGTGCAGGAGCTGTTCCCGCCACCGCAACCAAGCCTGAAGGACACAGAAGAGACAACACTCACAGGAGAGGCAGGGAAGCAGAGGTGAAGTGCTGGTGGAGAGAACAGAAACACTCACACACACACTCACACACACACACACACACACACACACACACGAAAGGTGAAAATTAGACACAAGTGGCATGATGAGCTGTGGGAACTTGGGGTGCAAGGATATTTGGGAAGGGCATCCTACTTCCAGAAAGTAAGTTCTTCCCCTGGATTAAGAACACAAATGAAGAGGAACAATCAAGTCTACGAGCCGCCCTGAGCAGGTAGCTCAGCTCGTTGGTGCATCGTTCCGACTGCCCAAGGTTGCAAGTTTGGTCCCTGGTCAGGGCACATGCCAGAGGCCAGTGAGTAAAAAGACAGGCAGAAAAATTCAGCAACAAATTGATGTTTCTCTCTCTCTCTCAAATCAATACATACATTTTAAAAATTAAAAAAACAAAACAAAACAATGAGCAGCCAAGAAGCAGGGACAATCCAAGGGGTGATACAATGAACTCAGAGTTGGCACAGGTGAGAGCACAGGTGTTTCCAAAGGGAGAGGAAGCCTGTTGCCAAGAGGCCCTCCTCAGACACACGGGCTTCCTGGAAGTGCATCTGCAGAAGCTGAAGTCTACGGAATGGCTCCCTGAAGAATGTCCATAAATGCACACACTGGAGATATCTCCATGCACGCTCAACGACGCGCACGCCCTAGTGTGAAGAGGGCCGTCTCAGACGACAGCTTCACACCTCCTTAAACCTGTCACACCTCTTCGCCTTTCTTTCCTCCCAGTTGAATACCACTCTCCCTATTTCACCAAGAAAATAAAAGCAGTCACAAAAGAATTTTCTCAAGCCCCCCTGCTCCATCTACCCACAGGCTTGGCCTTCTCTCCTGTTACTCCGGACAAACTGTGCATGCTCCCATCAAGGGTCATCCCTCCACTAAGGATGCATCCCATCTTCTCTCACCTTCTTCAGTGTATCGCTCTGGCAACTGCCCCCACTTCTGCATTATCTATTTCCACTCTCTACTAGATTTTTTACATCAGCACATGAATGTGCTGTTATGTCTCCCATTCTAAAAAAAAAATGTATGTCCCTTCTGACATACATGTCCCTTCTGGGATATGACAGCCCAAAGCAATGGGTGACCTGCCACTGGACTTGGACCTGACACTAAAACAGCAACAATGTATAGTTTGCACATCAACTGTATTTTAGATGTTATCATATCAACATTAAATGTCTTGGATATAATGATACTACAGTGAATAGGAAAATATCCTTATTTTTAGGAGATATAAGCTAAAGTATTTCGTTAAATTTTATGTCTGCAACTTTAAAGCGGCTCAGAAAATATATGATAGAGAAAGCAAATGTGGCAAGGTGTAAACATCGGTTACCCTAGTGAACTGTATACAGTATCCATCTTTTCTGTGGTTTGGTATTTGTCAAAAATAAAAAGTGGTGGGTGGGGGAGATTACTGTCACAGAAATGCTTCTTAAAAGGAATAAATTAGTTAATCCTCAAACCAACCAACACACACCAGCCACACTTTGCCGGCCAGCTAACACTCGTTTTCTTTCCCTTCCTTCCAAACTCCTCAAAAAAGCTGTTTGTAAATTTTCTTCTCCCAGGCAGGCTTCCTTGAACTTCTCCCCAGCGGGCGCACCTAAACCCTTTTACCGAGCACACCCATGATCTCTGAATTTCTCGATCCAAAGGTCAAATATCGGTCCTTGCCCTCCCTGAACAACCAGAAGCATCTGACACAGCCGGTATCACACTTTCCTTCAGCTGGCACCCAAGATGTCACGCGTCTCTCGGCTCCAGTTGCTGATCCTGGAACCTCTCCACTAGCTACTCACTCCCTTCGTGCTTTCACCCAGTCCCTCTTAGCTTCAGTTACCACCTGCATGCCCAGGACTCCCAAATTTACATCTCAGGTCTGGACCTGTCCTCAATACTCCTCACATATACCCAACTGCCTTCCTGACATCTCCTTCTGGACATGCAGAAAGCTTACCAGGCTGAAGACACGGAGCTAAAAATGCAGCTCTTCCCAATGCTTCCCCACAAGCCTGCTTCTCCCTCCATCTGCCCCATTTCAGTGAATGGCAACTCCACTGATCAGTTTCTTAGGTCAGAAACCTGGGAGTCATCTTAGACTCTCTCTCTCTCTCTCTCTCTCTCTGAAACTTCGCATCTTATCTATCCATTAGCAAATCCTGATGTCAATGCCTTCAGACCATACCCGAAATCCAACACCTGTTTGCTATCATCCTTGTCCACAATCTCACCAGGAATTTGATAATAGCTTCTTCACTATTGTCCCTGCTTTTATGCACGATCTTCTGTGGTCTGTTTTTTTTCCCCCAAAACATACAAATTTTTTAGTATATTTTATTGGCTGTTATTCAGTTGTCCCACTTCTTCCCACTTTGCACCCCTCTGCCCAGTACCCCATTCCCTCCTGCAATCCTTCCCCTCAGTTCATGTTCATGGGTCATGCATGTGAAGTTCTTTGGCTTCTCCATTTCCTATACTTTTCTTCATATCCCCCTTTCTATCTTGTACCTACCAATGTTGCTTCTTACTCCCTGCACCCTTTCCCCCATCTCCCCGAACTCCTTCCCTGCTGATAACCTTCCAAATGATCTCCATATCTACGATTCTGTTTCTGTTCTAGTTGTTTGCTCAGTTTTTTTTCAAGATTTTGCTGTTGATAGCTGTGAATTTGTTGCCTTTTTAATGTTCTTAGTTTTGATCTTCTTCTTTACTTAAATAAGTCACTTTAACATTTCTGGTAATAATGGCTTGGTGATGATGAACTTCTTTAGCTTTACCTTGTCTGGGAAACACTTTATCTGCTCTTCCATCCTAAATAATAGCTTTGCTAGATAGAGTAATCTAGGTTGTAGGTCCTTGCTTTTCATCATTTTTTTTAAAGATTTTATTTATTTATTTTTAGAGAGGGAAGGGAGGGAGAAAGAGAGAGAGAAACATCAATGTGCAGTTGCTGGGGGCCATGGCCTGCAACCCAGGCATGTGCCCTGACTGGGAATCGAACCTGCAATGCTTTGGTTCACAGCCCGAGCTCAATCCAGTGAGCCACGCCAGCCAGGGTGCTTTTCATCATTTTCAATACTTCTTGCCAGTCCCTTCTTGCCTACAGAATTTCTTTTGAGAAACCAGCCAGAAGTCTTATGGGAACTCCTTTGTAGTAACTCCCTGCTTTTCTCTTGCTGTTTTTAAGATTCTCTCTTTATCGTTTACTTCTCTCTTTGTCATTTTAATTATGATGTATCTTGGTGTGGTCCTCTTTGGGTCTACCTTGTTTGGGACTCTGTGCTTCCTGGACTTGTATGTCTATTTCCTTTGCCAAATTAGGGAAATTTTCTTTCATTATTTTTTCAAATAAGTTTTCAATGTCTTGCTCTTCCTGATCTCCTTCTGGCACCCCTAGGATTCAGATGTCGGCATGTGTGGAGATGTCCCCAGAGGCTTCTTATATATACTATCCTCATTTTTTTTTGAATTCCTGTTTCTTCTTTGTGTTGTGGTTGAATGTTTATTTCTTCCTTATGTTCCAAATCGTAGGTTTGAATCCTGGCTTCCTTCCCTTCACTGTTGGTTCTCTGTAGATTTTTCCTGATTTCATTTAGTATAACCTTCAATTCTTCCTTTATGTTTACCCTATAAAATGTTATAGAGACTTGGCTGCCTCCTCAGGGTGGCTTAAACTCATTCCTCTGATCTCTGAGTTTCCTATGAATCGATCACTGGAGTCATGTTCACATTTTTAGACAAGAACAGTTCTCGAGTGGTACTAGGTCTTTCCCGTTACACTGCCCCGTGAGGCACAGCATGGCAGGCTGCCCTAGTTCTATCAGCGCCAAGACTGTTCAGTGGCTTCAGGTGGCATCACTCTGATCCGTCCACTATATTTCCCCATCGCCTTTTCACCTGGTGCTGGCTGCCTACACCCAATTTCTCATCAGGAGTGGCAAACAGTGAGTTTCTACCTCCAGTGCTCCTGCATTTATTAACTGCAAATCTATAAAGAAGGCTAGTCTCTCATTAACCTTCTGGTTTTGCAGAGATTAGTTTGTACAGGAAAGGCAGGATCAATGCTTCATTTTTACCTTCATTAATTTTCAAGGAACTGAGCTAATGCTCTAACCTAAATTGTGACCAATGAGTTCCTCTTTACTTCTCATTATGAATGCATTACTTTTACATATTTGATATGTTTTTCAATCCACTGTAGTCATTATTCTTTCTGATGCCCACACTGTTCTCGCTGAAGCCTACGGGAGTCCTGGCACAACCCTCTCAGCCTCTGTTCATCCGCTCACTTGGCAGCACACCGCACCCTAGGCCAGCGATTTTCAAGCACTGTGCTGCAGGAATTTTTAAAACATGCAGCACCTGACTATTTAGTCAGAGGCACTGGTCAGTGCCTTTTCCCTAGACTGGCAAATAAAAAAAGTGATAATAGCCAACACAATGATAGCCATCCAGTGTGAATGCCCTGTCTTGAACCATAAATATATCAGGTCATGGAACAGAGCTGCATCTTATTGGCCACATCACGTAATAAGGTCACATCTGACTGGTTCATTCTTGGTACAGAAATCCTTCTGTATAGGTGCCTGATTTTTTTTAAAAAAGTCACTTTGGAGCAAAAAGAGTACGTAATGACCATTATCATACTTTTTGTAAAGCAATCAAATATTTTTGTCGGAGTGGCAAAAAATATTTTTTAGGGTGTGCCACAGAATTTTAGTAATTAGCCTGTGTGCCATGAGATGTAAAAGGTTGAAAATCTGTGCCCTAGTCTTACAGTGTCTATTTCCAGCTGCAGACCTGGAATCAGCCATTTCTCAAAAAAAAAAAAAAAAAATCCTCAGTTCCTTTCTGTGGGAAGTAGCAGAGACCACAGCTTGGGCTCTGCAGCAGCCAAATGCTGCATTAATGCCACTGCTTCTAAGTCTTGTCAGTCAGAAGGTTTTTAAGGTCAGAAGATTTTTAGGTAAAAAAAAAGTCTTGAGTCCATACTGATATTTATATTTCCAGCTTCAAATTACAGGACTTTTATTTAATTTCTTTGATTGAATACCTGTAATATCTTCTTTCATCCTAAAAACTGTGATTCCTAATGACACTGCTGTAGTTATTTGCTTTATCTTACAACGGAGCTATAGGAGTTTCAACATAATTCCAAACCTGTCCCTAACATGAGACTGCCGAGTACAGTTTTACATTTCTCGGCGGTTCTCCGCGTCCTTAGACCACATGCTGCTAGGGAAGAAGGGACAAAATATTGTATTTTAAGGTTACTTGAAGTAATTATTTTCTCTGTGTAGTCACTGCTACAAACTTGATATGCTTGGTTCAGAGTGTTTTAAAATCCTAGGGACTGTTTTTTGGTTTTGCTTTCCTTTTGTTTTTTTTTATTATATAAAATATCTACATGGTTCCAAAGTTTAAAATGTATAACGAAGTAAATTCACAAAAATACTTTGTTCCAACATTGTTCCCTCCCTCCCTCCGTGGGTAACCACTTTGTTGTTAGTTTTAGGTTTAGTTTTCCATTATTCTTCTTGAAAATATAAGCAAGCACACACGCCCTCTAATATCTCCCCCTCCCTTTCTTACTCAACAGGCAGCATGGAATGAACCAAAGGGATCCTTCTAAGAGGTAAGGGTGATCACATCGCTCTCCCCTGAAAGCCAACAGCTTCCCACCTGCCCTGGAGTGAGAGCCCAAGCCTTTAATGGGCACAGCCCGCAAAGCCCTACCATCTGCCTCTTGTGACCTCATGACCCAACTCCTACTCTCCCTCCAAATTGGGTTCCTGGGCCCAATCCCAACAGGGTGTCCAAGAATTCAAATCAGTTCCAACACTGTTTACCCAGAGATGGCCTCAGATTCCACGGGCTGAGTCCAGTCCCACAAGACTGCCTTGTCCCCCACCCTTATCCCACCCTCACGCCCGTAAACTTCCATGCCAGCCCCAAGCCCAGGCTCTTACCTGTGCTTCTACTGACTGGCCACGTATTGGAGGTTCCACAGATCCCCTCCAACTCAGAATGGCAACTGCAAGTTCTGGTTGTTACATGCACTAACTAGCTACAAACCAGAGGTTCCCACGACCCCCTCCTTGAATTCAATTAAGTTGCTAGAACAACTCACAGAACTCAGAGAAACATGTTACTTAGTGGATCACTCATTTGTTATAAAAGGCTATAACTGGGGAACAGCCACATGGCAGAGGTGCATACGGCAAGGTGTGTGGGAAAGGGGCATGGGGCTTCCTCCCCAGACATGCCACGCTCCCCACAGCTCCACACATCGCCAACCAGCAGGCCCTCTGACCCTCACCCTTTTGGGGTTTTACAGAGGCTTCATTACATAGTCGTGATTGATTAAATCATTGGCCACTGGCGATTAATTCAACCGCCGGCACCTCTCCCCTCCCCGGGGGGTGGGGTGGGACTGAACGTTCCCACCCTCTAATAACATGGTTGATTCCATGGGCAGCCAGGCCCCATCCTCAGGTGCTTTCCAAGAGTCGCCTCATTAGTGCTAATTGGCTATAAGGAAACAGTAAAAACAAAAAATATACTGCTGTTTCTTTAACATATTTATAACTAACTCGTAAATTCCTTTCCAGTTCCACAATTAGCAGACCCACTCTACAAACCATTGGTAAGCACATCTAGCATAATCCTAAGAGCAACCTCTGTCTGTTGAAGAGCTCAGCCCTCCACGTTGCTTCTGGCCCCCACCTCCTCCTCAACCCTGTGAGCTGTGGGGAGGGCCCAGCAGAGGCAGCAGCGTGATGACTGGCCTTCTGAGTGGAAGTCCCACCCCACCCTTTGCGGGTGTGGAGCTCGACAACAGGGACGAGACTCCAAAGCCGGAGTCTGGGGGACTTACCTGCAGCTGGAGGCTCTGGGCCCGGTGCTTCACGGCGGAGGCATAAAGAGCACGCCCCGCACGGAGCTGCTCCAGTCGCCGCCTCCACTCGCTCCAACACGCCCTGTCAAGGAGCAAGGCGAAGATGAAACCAGCCAGAAGAAAAGTCACACAGAAAAGAGGAGGGTAGTGAGGGCTGGGCCTCGGGCTTCCAGGTCAACTCCCTCCCCCTCACGGTGCGTCTCTAGACGGATGGATGTTAGAGCCACTGCTGAAAAGCTCAGTCGAGAGTCCCAAAGCTGCCAATTAAAGGCTGGAAAGGATGGACCCTCAGTCGGATCCAGCCTCAGACACTGCAGACATGCTGTGTATGGCCTGGACGAATTTTTAAAAATATATAATAAATTATTGCCAACATTTAAAAAATCAGGAGAGTTCACAGAACAATCCACACAAAAAAAGTAGCTTTTAGATTTCCAGTCTTGAGGGATCCCTTCCCTTCCTACTGTCCGGACCAGGTTTCATCCAGAATTAAGTCTTTTCTGCTTATTTTCTAATTTGATGGAGGAAAGCAGTAATGAGGATATGAGCTGGCAACTTCTGCTTTATGGAAACACTTTGCCTGATCACTCTAACCCACCAAAACCTCCTTTCTCCTATCCCAGGCCGTGCTAGCTGCACTACTCACTCCAAAATAGCAAGCTATCTTGCATTATTAGTTACCTTTTTAAGCACTTAGGGAATCAGAAGTTCCCTGAGTGTAGACCCAGCACCCAACACTGTACCAGGAACATTTTAAGCCCTTGATAAATATACACTGAATAAATAGAATTTCTAAAATATCCCCAACAGACTCTAGTAGAAGTGTATACTTGTTCAGAAGTTTTAAATATTTACCGAATAAATTTTAAATAATTTCAAAATTTCTAAAATTTTAAATAACTTCACATCCACTGATGTTCTGAATACCATGCAAAATTCTTTACAGGTATTATCTTATTTGTTTCCCATGACAACCTCGAAAGATTCTTACTGGTGTGACTATTTCACAGATGAAAAGTGAGACCTGGAGAGGTGAAATGACCCAATAACACACATTGGAACGGGGACTTGAACCCAGCTCAATCTAGGTGCAAAGCCTCTGCTCTTATCCATACAAGGCCCAGCTCTTTCAGGCAGAAACTAAGCTTTTAATATGCTGTCATTCCGGACACCAAGGACCACTAGAAACACTGTACGGTGGAATCAGCCCCATTATAAAGTAGCTCATCGTTACACACAACCGGCTTCCAAGTGGACTAACTCATCTCCCTCCAATGTGTGGACAATGCTGATGAGCTGCAGTGCAAGGAAGCAGTTAGAAGCATGGTCTTTGGCATCAGAAAAATTGTGTCGTGAGCTCTGTCTTTGCCAATTACAACTTATGAGGTCTGTACAGAAAAAGTCCAGCCATGTACTACGAAAAATAGAGACAGTTATTGAAGAAGATGCAAGATACATGAAACATTGTATATAGGACAATGATGCTTCAATCCTCTTCAAAGTAGGTACCTTGGGACCTCACACAGTTCTTCCAGTCACCATCACCTACCCTGTTTTATTTTCCTGAATCTCACTGATGGTCTGAAATTGCTTCCCTTGCAAAGGTGATTTTAGTTTTGGGAAAAGTCAGAGGTCACAAGGCACCAAATCTGGGCTATAGGGGGGCTGAGTCGCCAGGGTGATTTGATATTTCACCAAAAAACTCTGCATGAGCGGGAGTGTTGTTGTGATGAAGCTGCCAATCACCAGTTGCCCATAGCTGCAGCCTTCTGAATCATCTGAATAGTTTCCATGGAGGAATGTTCAAGCTCAATGCAAAGTGTGATGCAGATTCATTACTCTACTTGCTCATTTTGAATGCGACGGCCACACAGTACACATGCTCACTCAACAGTGTCTACCGCCCCCCATGACTAGTACAGTGAAGTCGTCATTGTTCACACGTGCACATTCCAGTCCACTTGCCTTGGCTGCCAGGTTACATCAACATCACCCTAACCATTCTCATTATATTAACAATGGTTGGACTTTTTCCAAACAGACCTCATGTATCTTTATATGTACAATAAGAATACTTAACTTTACAGTTTATGGTGAGGATTAAATGAGATGTATCACATTAAAAAATTAATATACCCACATACTTAACACAGGATTTAGAACATAGTGAGTACTCAATTAGTGTTACTTATGATTATGTGAAAACTTGATCTTATAGTTGGACAAATTCTCAATAAGTATATATTAGGTACCAATTATGTTCAAAACTGTTCTAAGGTGGGATTTTGTGCTGTTTCGCAGCAGCATAAAGAAAGGCTGAGACAGGCCCAGCTGGTGTAGCTCAATGGATTGAGCACAGGTCTGTGAACTAAAGGGTCACTAGTTCAATTCTCAGTTGGGCTACATGCCTGGATTGCAGGCCAGGTACCTGGTAAGGACCATGCAACAGGCAACCACACACATTGATGTTTCTCTCTCTTTCTCCCTCCCTTCCCCTCTCTTTAAAAATAAATAAATAAAATCTTTTAAAAAAAAAAAAGCTGAGACAAAATGATAGTTGCTGAACTGTGAGTGCACTCACCACAAAATACTCCGCTGCCTAAACTCCAGGGCAGCGGTCTGCATCTGACACTTGGTCCTCCGAAAAACAACGTAGATCAACCAGGACTTCCAGGCCTGCCGCATCTTTTGCTTTGCATCTAGATGCACCAAAGAGATTTTCACAATGGGGTAAGGGGAGACGGATCACTCTGGGTTATGATAAAATCCCATGGCGCTCTCTGTACTTATCCCACCTTTGAAAAAATTCCTCCAGCCTTCAAGTGCCCCCTGCTGGAAAAGTTGTGAACTCTACAAAATTAATAAAGATGCAAGTGCATGTGAAGAATGGCTATGTCAGTGATAACATTTACAAAACATTTAAAGGAAAATCAATATACTGCACTGTTTAGAAATACTTTACTTTAAAAGCCCTTATTTTTTTAGAGCTATATTATGCAACATTTACAGATGAAACGATGTGAGTAACACAGGAAGCAGAGAAGGGAGACTGGTGTGAGTTGATAATTGTTGAAGTTGGGTGGGAGGTTCATTAGTCTATTTTTCAATTTTTTAGAGATTTAAATTTTTTCCACAATACAAAGTTTAAAAAATAAGAAACTGTATTACAAAACTTGCTGTTTGAAATAATAATTGAGTAATATAAGCAAACAAAAAAAATACTCTCTGTATCTGTTTGGGAAACAGTAACAAAGACCAGTAATGATCCCGGAGAAAAGACAAATTACTAGATACAGAACTGCAAAGGTCAACAGATTTCCCTTTGTGGTAAATCCATTTTCATTATGAAAGTCATTACCAATAAAGTAAATTTCTTTACTTTTTAGTATACAAAGGATACAAAGCAATTATATAAACCATTTTTAGAACATTCTCCAAAACGCAGTCAGTAGGACTGGAGCTACACTTTATATGTCATAGTTGCTGACAAGTGGACTCAAATTATGAAGAAAAGTTTAACATGGGGCTTCCTCGAGCCCACCCCAGATCTCAGGAATCAACACCCCCTAGGCCACAAGGACTGGCATGGTGCTATGGTTTAAAGTCTGGTCTCCCAAGATAAGACAAGCCAAGTCTAAATACTGACCTTGTCATTTATTAGCTAAGTAACCTTGCACAAGTTCTTTATCTATAAAACGCTGCCTCCCTTAGAGGTTATATTTGCAAAGAGTAAATTAGACTGTCTATGATAAGTGTCTCCAATAAGTGCAAGCTGTTATTTTCTGAGCATGGAACCCAGGAATTGGCATTAATCGTCTCTACCAAGATTCTGATGACAATTTGAGAACTAGTCCTCCCCAAGGCCTGGTTGTACTTGCAGACGTTTTATTTACCAGTGCAAGAGTAAATGGGTACTCCCTGAGGCCTGTGGACATGGCCTAAAACAATGTCATATGTCAGAAGTAACTCTTCTATCTTAAAAACCCAAGTGACTTTTCTTTAAACTCTATAATATGGAGTTGGTTGGGCATCACCCCACAAACTGAAAGATCATCGGTTCAATTCCCAATCAGGGCACATGCCTGGGTTGCCGGTTAGATCCCTGGTTGGGGCACATGCAGAAGGCAACCAATCAATATTTCTTTCTCGCATCAATGTTTCTCTCCGTCTTTCTTCCTCCCTGCCCTTCTCTCTAAAATCAATAAGAATGTCCTTGGATGAGGGTAAAAAAAAAATTAGCAAATTGAACCCAGCAATACATAAAGATTGGTGTTAATTTGAAGAATGTATGGCTGGTTCAAAATTCAAAAGTCACTCTATATAATTCAACATATTAACAAACTAAAAAAATGGCCACAGAATCACCTCAAAATAGAGAAAAATGATGACAAAATCCAACATCTATTAATGATAAAAGTGCTCATAAAACTAGGAATATAAGAGAACCTCCTTGACCTGATAAAGGATATCTACAAATAACCTATAGTTAATATCACATCTAAAGGTTAAAAACCAAAAGCTTTCCCCCTAAGAGCAGGAATGAGACAAGGATGCCCACTCTCACAACCCCTGTTCAGTGTCACGCTGGAAGCCCTAGACAATGCAATAAAGATATCCTGGAAAGGAAGGAATAAAGCTGTCTCTGTTTACCGATGACTGTAGAGAAAATCCCATTCAATCTACATAAAAGATCCTAGAACTAGTAAATGAATTTAGCAAGGCTGCAGGATATACAAGATCCATAAGTAAAACCACAGAACTTTCAGGAGAAAATCTTTGCAACTTTGGATTAAGTAGAATTCTTACACAAGCTATCAGAAACACAATCCATAAGACAAAAATTTGATGAACTGTACTTCATCAAAATTAAAAACTTTTGCTCTGTAAGAGACACTACTGAGAATGAAAAGAAAACCACCAACTGGGAGAAAATATTTACGAATGGGGGAAGCTATGCATGTGAAGGGGCAGAAGGCATATGGGTAATCACTGTACCTGCTCCTCAATTTTGCTGTGAATCTAAAACTGCTCCCAAAAACTGAAATCTTAATAAAGGAAAGTCAGTCTGGGCATTTTCTTTAGACATGCATCTCCGTTTCTCACCATAATCTTCGGCTCTCACGTACTTGTTCTTCACAGCCTGCCGCTGACGCACGTAGGCCTTCCAGGTCTGGAACGCCAGACCATACAAGTAATACCTGCGGAGCCAAAGAAGCAAATGCCCTTTCTTTAAAGCAGAACAATTCCTAATTTGTTGTACCCAGTCCCTACTCAGGAGAAATTACCATGAACATTTCCGATACAGAACATATCTATATCCTGAGCTAAAATTTCATTTCCTGTGGTCATGGTAAAACCTGCGGTCCTTGACAGAGTGTTGTTCCCCACACCTCACAGTGTCACTGAGGAGAAAAGCCTTGGCCTTTGTGAGAATGGCTTCGCCTTCAGCATCCACAAAGCCCTAATGTCTGGAATGACAGTCACAATCAACTTAATGTCTACAGTATGTAAAACATCACTCTTCTCCTCTGCACTAAAACATGGTCAATGACACTTTTTTTCCTTTCTTTTCCTTCTCAATACATACACTAGACACATTCCGACATCAGTCCCTCTGTATTTCCACCACCCCATTTCCTAAGACTTAATGTCATACTCTAGCAGATGAGAGTTATTCAATGTATCTAAATATCAGATACATTGTATATTAGATACATTATATATTTTGTCTAAAATATATAAATCAAAACCCGTACAAGAGAGAAACTAAATAAAGAAGTGATTATAATGAGAGTAAACATCATTTTAAACACACAATGTGTAAGATTTATTGGTTATGTATTTTCTCCTATAATCAGTATAAATTAAAATAACTTATGTTACAGAAGTAAAAATTAGACAGAAGTAAAACTCATGCCCTGGCTGGTGGGGCTTAATGGATTGAGCACTGGCCTGTGGGCCAAAAGGTTGCTGGTTCGGTTCCCAGTCAGGGCTGGGTTGTGGACCAGGCCCTTGGCTGGGGGCCTGCGAAAGGCAGGCAATCGATGTTTCTCTCTCACATCAATGTTTCTCTTCCTCTCTTTCTCCCTCCTTTCCCCTCTCTCTAAAAATAAATAAATAAAATGTAAAACAACAACAAAAAAGGAGTGAAAGTGAAGGAGAAAACCCTACTCGAACCACTAGCGTGACCAATACCTAACGGTCACTGGAATTAGAGGAGTGTCTGTGTGTGTGTGCCCACGCGCACATGTGTTGGGTTTGACTCCAGGTTTTGATCTTGTCACTCTGAGAGAGTTTGAAGAAAAACAGGAAACGATTCAGAACTATTCTCTCTGACCATAAGCATGCCAAGGAACGATTTGACAACGTGTACGAGTAAACGTGGGGTGACACAAACGACATCTGACCTGTAGTGACAGTCGGCTCGAACACAGAGTTTCCACTCTCGATGGCACACCCACCACTCTTCTTTCCACTCCTCGAAGGCCTTCCGGAGTATTCTTTGCCTGTAGTGGAACCTAGGGCAAGGGAAAAAGCAGAGATACGCGATGATGTTGAAACTGCTCTCTCTTCCCAAAGCGCAGTTTCCTATTGCCACTGCTTTCTCACAGTAAGGTGTGGTTCATGATTTGGTAACACCAAAATAAAGTAAAAATAGACATATTTAACATCTTCAGATCAAAAACAGAGCTACTTAAACTAGAAATGAGGCCTAAAATTTTATACTGTATCTCCTACCAATGAAAGATGTTAATGTAAATAAAAACATGACTTTTCAAGTACCCTAAGTGAGTTGAGAATTATTCTCAAATTTTTTCACTCACCAGGCTAAAGAATTTTTTTGAATAGTAAAAAGTGGTAGCTCACTTCTCACACAGGCAAGCAAAAGTTATAAAATAAGTCAATGCCTACTGAGGGGAAAATAATGAGGGGGAACAAGAAGGAAAACAGAAGAGCAGAGACACTGTGTCGACCCTAACGAGGCACTGCCAAGCTGATTCGCAACTCACGGACTCTAGTCCTGTCACCCCCCTTGAACTGCCTCTCATGGTTCTGCAGCCCACTGACATATACTTCCCCCTCACCCACGCCCAGTTTCAAAAAACCAGCCTGTGAAGATGTACACAGGGAAGCTCAACTCACTGTTGGTCACAATAATAAAAAAGAAATACTGCATATGTCCACTAAAAGAAGGCAGGTTAAATTCAATCAATGCCATGTGGTCATTTTTTTAAAGATTTTATTTATTTATTTTTAGAGAGGGAAGGGAAGGAGAAAGAGAGAGAGAGAGAGAAACATCAATGTGTGGTTGCTGGGGGCTGTGGCCTGAAACCCAGGCATGTGCCCTGACTGGGAATCAAACCTGCGATGCTTTGGTTCGCAGCCCACGCTCAATCCACTGAGCTATGCCAGCCAGGTCATTATTTTAATAAATGAACTGAAACTAAGGATACTGATAGGGAGAGATACCAAAAAAAAAAAAAAGTTGGTAGGTGAAAAAAAAATAAAGTCACCTCACAGTATATATAACATAATGCCATTTTTAAAAAATTAACATTTTTGTATTTTGGTACCCATCTTTTTGAATTATTAATGTAATATATACCAAATACATATATATTTTAAAGTACATGTGCACCTATTCATATTTTTATATATGTGTGTATATACATATATACATGACTTTATTACATGTATAAAAAGCCTGTAAATAGGGTGGAAACGGGAGGGAGGTGGGGAGGGCTGCGGGGGTGGGCTGGGATGGGAGTAAAGGACAGAAAACTGTACTTGAACAACAATTAAAATTTAAAAAAGGGAAAAAAAAGCCTGGAAAGATCTCCAGAATCCCAAACTATTACCAGGGGTTCCCTCTCAGGATGTGATTATAAAAGACCAGTATTTCATACATTATACATTTCTGTAGTTTAAAAAAGTTTAACAATAACTTTGTTCATGATTTTTAAATACTGTAAAGTAAAAGAACTACTTCCGTTTGCACATGTGCTTTCTTCTACCATCTACTATTTACCTACTTCCTCCCCTTCCTAAAACCTCCCTGAAACAGCAGCAAATACATTCGAAAGGTGTAAGCCCACAAAGACAAAGAGACTAGGAGCAACGAAGAGAGACAAGGGATGTCAACAGATTCGGACAATGGAAAGCAGGCGAGTGAATCAACAGATCAGAGAAAGCAGAGGGGGAAGTATCCTGTGGTGGGGAAGTCAAGAAGCAACCAGCTGGTGGCACAAGCTCCAGAAGTGGGTGGGAACAGGGGGCGTCAGGAGGAGGGAGCCCTGGGTGGAGAAGAAACACAGGATTATTTGTAAGCCTGTGGGTGAGGAAGTGAGGCCCCTGCATCCCATTATTTAGCCAAGCAGAGACTCAGGTTCAGCTCTGGAGAGGGTCAACCAGAGAGGCACTGGATTCTAGAATCCCAGGCAGAGCTCTGGGGAAGTCTGTGAACCAAGAGTCGGAGACCCACATTTCCTCTCCTCTGCTGGCAGCCAAGCTTCAACCACCGTCACCCACCTCCACCCCACCCCAGGAGAAGGTTGACGGACCCCTTTCCTCTGGGAAAACTGATCAGCCAAAGGGAAAAGGCCGTCAGACACTCACATCAGGAGGTCCCCAAGTGGAACTGTCTGCTCTCTGCTTCAAAAGTCTGAAGTGAAAGCCCTGGCCAGGTAACCCCGTTGGTGAGAGTGTCGTCCCTGATATGCCAAAGCTGAAAAAAGTCTGAAGCGAAGCCCTCAACTTACAGGTCCCTGGGCATCGATATAAAAGCTTCTAAAATTAGCATTTTAGTGTCTAACGAAAATGTGAACAGATAATAAAAGGGTCTCTTGACATTTGAGGGAAAGTTCCAACATGAGACTGTGCCCAGAAACACACAGAAAAAGAGAGCTTCAAAGAAACAGACAACATAAGCAGAAAAAAATCTTAAAAACAAATAAATCACTAAATTAACCTAAAAATTATAAGCCTCCCGGATGCTACTTTTTTAAACAAATAGGAACATTTGAAGAACAAAAAAGATCTCTTGAATATTAAAAATATGACAGAAATGAAAAAAGATCCGCAGACAGGTATAACGAAAGGTGATCAGCCCTGTTCGGGCAGCTCAGCGGGCTGGAGCACTGTCCCGAAATGACACGGCTGCGGATCCAGGTCAGGGCGCACACAGGGATCAACCAATGGATGCATAACTATGGGGAACAACAAATCGATGTTTCTCTCTCTTTCTCTCTCCTCCCTCCCTTCTTCTCACTCTAAAATCAATAAATACATTTTTTTTAAAAAAAGAGTGCAAGTTGAAAACAACCACCCCATCACAAACTTCTAATCAATGGGAACACGGTGTCAGAACTCTAATTCTGATAGGTGGCTAAAAGAACAAATATTCTCACTCTCCCATTCTGTAATTTTGGAAACTGAGGCCCAGAGCCATAACTTATCCCCAGTTCAAACAATTAGGGTCTGGGTTATGACCAAGACCCAGGTCTCCTAAAGTCCAGTCCGGTATTCTTTCCCCCATAGCCAGCCACCACAAAAGAGAGAACAAGAAACAAGTAAAAAGAGAAAGTAAAGCAGCGTGGCAAACACCAGTCAATAGCTAACCCAGCACCCTCTGCCAAGAGTCTGCTTCCTCATGGACATCCTTACAGAGGCTGGAAAGAACGGTTTGTCCCCAGCCTCCTCTGCATCAAAAGGTGGCCGGCAGCATAGCCCTGGCCAGTGAGGCAGAAGCAGAACACAGCTGGGGGTTTCCAGGAACGTTCTGCTTTCCTGACAAAGACACAGACAGAACTGATAGCACCCTTCCCCCTCCTTCCTGTGTAGAGCTAGACAGTCTCTTGCACTTATATGATGTCATCTCTGAGGTCAAAGGGTCGATATGCTAAGGATGGCGAACCAGATGGTACTGGAAGGCTGAGTCTTTGATGGCCTCACTGAACAGCTGAACCAATACCAACCTCCAGAGTGCTTCTGAGAAAAGGCAAATCCCAATTTGTTTAAGCCAGCACCAAACTTTCCTGGAGTCAAACGCATTCCTCAGTAATACTATCACCGTTTCCCAAATACTTGGGCTATAAATAGGTATTACTTGAAGAGAGACTTCCAGCTAAATATGGGTCAAATGTAAGTTAAATATAATTAAGTAGGAAAAGGATCTGGGGAAGACGGTGGAGGTGGCAACATTGTTCAATCTCTGAATCCCCATAAAACACACAGGACAGCCCTGTAGCAAAACCAAAAACTCATGGATGGATTACAACATAAACAGGTGACAAGACAGCCTCATGCATCCAAAAGGCGGGCAGGTGCGCACAAACCACCAACAGTCAAAAGACCGGCGCGGCAGAACATTTGTGTAGGAAACAAAGGAGCAGTGCGGTGGCCTGTGAGGAGTGGGATAAAAGTTGTGTGAATGTGGTCTCTCCCGCTCTCTCAGCAAACTAGCGCAAGTTTCTTCTTCCTTCTTCACAAGTTCATGGACAGATTTGTTCTCCGTGTACATCTTAGCAACTTCAGCAGACATTCATTTCCTCTTTCCTTATTACGTCTAGGGTTTTCACCTTTTCACTTAAAGGAGGCGCTTTTAGCTTCTCTTTGGCATACCCAAACTGTTGGCATCACTAGCCTTGCACTTTAGGGCCATTATTAAGCAAAATAAGGGTAACTTGAACTCTAGCACTGTGGTACCACAACGGCTGATCTGACAACTGAGACACCACTAAGTGGCTAAGAGGGCATGCAACATATATCACATGGATACTCTGGACAAAGAGATGATTCACTTCCTGGGTGCGACAGAGTGGAACAGTGCAAGCTTTCATCACGCTAGTCAGAATGGCGTGCCATTTAAAACTTACAGATTGTTTATCTCTGGAATTTTCCATTTAATATTTTCAGATCGCAGTTGACCACAAGTAACTGAAACTGCAGATTAGGGAGACTACTGTATATTATATTCTTAAGGAAGTCCTTAAAAGAAAAATAAACAAGCATATAAACTTCTAAGCAAACAGTGGGAAAAATGAATAAAATACTCAACTGAATAAAAAATAACAAAAACAAGAGACTTCCGGTAATGGCAAACTGGGTAATTCAGATTAATACTCTACCTGAGAACAAGAAAAGAAGGACAAAAAAAGATATTTGGGGCATTCAAGAGCTACCAGGCAGTGAAGGGGAGCAGGGCCAAGGTGCAGAAGAAGGGAGAGCAGAGGTGAGCCACACCTGACGTCTGCACCTGGGATGGGCTGTTGCCACATTGGGAGCTCCACCGGACACAAAGGAGATGGGAACAGTGAGCCACGCCCCACCACCCCCACCTACAGGGTATACAAAGAAAAGATTCTGGAGAACACACACAGGCCAAGTTTGCTTGAGAGACCTTGAATCAAGGGACCTTGGGAAATGTTCCCGATTAGGAAAGCCAGACTTCAGGAAAATAAAACAGGAAAGACTGTAGTAAGGGGAGAGGGAAGGGCGTGAGAACCCACAACATTTGGTTTTATTTATTTTTCTTTTGTTTTAAGATTTTTAATTTATTTTTATTTTTAGAGAGAAGGCAAGGAAGGGAGAAGGAAATGGAAAGAAACATCCATGTGTGGTTGCCTCCCATGAGCCCTCCAATGGAGACCTGGCCTCCAACCCAGCCATGTGCCCTGACTGGGAACTGAACCGGCAACCTTTTGGTTTGCAGGCCTGCGCTCAATCCACTGAGCTACACCAGTTAGGGAATAACATCTGTTTTTAAAAAATGCTTACATTTTCAATGGTTGCCAATTCTCCCTCTGAAACATAACCTCCATCAGCCCCTTCTCTACACCCCACTTACTGCAGTGTCCCTGACCCCTATGGCTCCCCCTTGCGGTCCATTCTGGGCACAACAGCTAAAACTATCAACCAAAACCCAAAGCAGTAAGTGGGAGCTTATACAAAGCGAGGATGTGGCAGGACTTTCTCTTGAGTCACATTTCATTCCCATTGCCAGTGCCAACTTTTTCCCTCAATCAAGTGAATTTGTCCATCTTGCCAGTGCCCTTAAAGATCTCATTTACTTCTGGGCAAGTACTTTTTTCCCAGAGGGTATTAGCTCTCCTGGTTTACTTGATGATTCCTTCAAACACTCATTCAGTCAAACTAATTAGTGTTAAATTACCATTTTATTAAATGCCTGCTGGAGGCTGGGGCAGGAGCATGGAAGGTATGTTACACACGCCATAATAAAGGTTATATATATGTGGGCTTAATCAAACAAACAAACAAACAAACTGAACTCGGAGGAAGTTTGGTGTTCTGAGCTAATACTACCTGGCTTTAGAGGGAAATACTCTTCCAAAAGTTTTTCGAATCCACAAATACAAAAACTTCCTGGTCACACATCTGAAAGAAGAAAAGAAAGGATACACACATTTTAAAACTCCATTTGGCTTATTTCATCAGCTCTCTGGATAAGAGAGGGAAACCTTAAGGTCCCAGGAGGAGAGAGATACTAGTATGAGTCAAAAGGTGAATCAGAGCTAATCTTGCATCAAATAGAGCATAGGACGGGACATGTTTATAAAGCGAAAATCAAGATTATTTTTTTAAATACTTTCAATATAATGCATTGTCAGTGAAGACTTCAGAGTTGAGGAAAAGGAAGTCTGTGATAATGCTTTTTTTGTATTATTCTTCCTACCTAAAACACTTGGCAAGGGCCCACTTACCCATCAAGGCTCATCTTTAATGCCTGCTCCTGTGTGATGCCCTCCTGGACCTTCCTCAACCCAAGCAGCGGGAAGAGCCTTGCACTCCCAGCACTCTGTTCCATCATGTAAACACTATGACACCAAATCAGTCACCGGCTCGCAGGTGCCTGTTGCTCCCTCTGCCCTGTGAGCCCGAGAGCAGCTGCTGCGTCTTACAGTACCCTCAGAACCTAGCAGTCCTGGCACACACACGCAACGTTGACTTGCCTTGGCCAGTTCATCTCCAGGTTTGGTTTGGAATGCTCTTCTTCCTCCTGCCCTTTATCTGGCTTGTTCTTATGTGATGCTTCAGAACTTAGCTTACGCTTCCTGCAGGAAGTCACTGCTGGCTACACTAGCATGGCTGTCCTCGCCACGTGAACCTGTGGTGCCACATCCTCCCCTTTCAGTGCACTTACACACTTCACTGTACTGGTCGTGTAATGGTCTGTCAAGCATATCTGACCTTTCATGAGGTCAAGGGCCAGGAATGTCTTATTCACCTCACATGCTCAGCATCTAGCACAACATCTGGCCAAGGAGGCCACATGATATATTTTACTGAATGCAGAAATGGAACCCTTTGATGGATCTAATCAAGAGAAAGAGAAAATGATCCTTTTTTTTTTTTGGACCCTGCTTAGACTTTTTCTGGGAAACTATAGTTTACACCTTGTCAGGTACAACTAAAGAATGTGAATGAAAACACTCAATGATGGATTTTATGTCTGCAGAATTCTAAACAGTTCCTTTTCTCCCGAACATTTCACAGTCAAGAGAAGACACCAAGATGTCCAACTAACTGAGACAGGAGAATAAGAATCATCCCTTCATTTTAACCAGAAGGGAGAACAAGGGAAAAATCACTGCGGGCAGGTGACCACGCGCATGCTCACCTGATGCGCAATTCTCTTAACCGACCCCTCTGGGTCCGAGCGTGAGGCTGCACCGGATGACGGGAACGAGGCATCTCACTCCGGATCCCAGAGAAGGCAGAAGACTTCTTGTTGGACAGTATCTTTGGAGAATAGAGTTTCTTAACTGTACCATCTCTAAAAGACCTTAAATTCGAGGTGTAAGGGGGAGAGGACAGAATCAAATTATCTCTGCATTGATGCAAATACCTCTTAACATACAAGTAAAAGTAAATTCATCGAGACAGGTTGATGGTAACTATGCTTCAAGGACAGTGAGCAGCCCACGCTGACAGCAATACCTGCCAGCCCCCAGAGGTGGGCACTGCTGAGCTGGCTCTAGGCAGAAACTGCAGGGCTAGAGGATACCACGAGTCATTGATCCTAACATTTTCATGTGTCATTTTAAGGCTAATCACTTACAAATTAAAAACATTCTTTTCTATAAAAACAAAAAATCATCTTAGGAACGATTTTCATACAAAGTGACTTTTACACCAATATGAAACCATATACTTTCATAAAAAACTAAATTCTAACTTTTAATCCCATTTCAGAAACATTAAGGGATTGCATTATTAGGATGAATGCATGATTTTTAAGAAATGGATGGCAGAGATCTGCCTGCAGGAGACACCTAGAAACAATGACATCCCATCAGCAGTGAGCACACCTAGAGCTTAAATACTGCTTATGAAGTACTATCCCCTACTAAAAGGAACCAGGGCTCCTTGGAGATTTTCAGGTCTGGGACAAGGAAAATACAAGATGAGCCTGGAATATCTTTTTAGGTCAGAAAATAAAGAAGCGTTCAAAGAATGATGGTGCATTTCAAAAAGACACAGAAGCCTCCCCCTGGCTAGTGTGGCTCAGTGGATTGAGAACCAATGTTCTCAGTGTTCTCTCAGGCGTGCCTGCGAACCAAGGGGTTGCCAGTCAGCGCACATGCCTGGATTATGGACCAGATCCCCATTTGGGGGCATGCGAGTCAACCAGTCAATGTTTCTCTCCCTCTTTTTCCCCTCCCTTCCTCTCTCTCTCTCTCAAAATAAGTAAATAAAATATTTTAAAAAGAAAAGACATAGGAGCCAGCTTGAAAGGGCTCCCACTGTCCAAATCTTTCACCCATTAATAAGTGAAAAATAAAATAGAAATTCATAAATAAATAAATCCACTAAATAAAATAGAAATCCATAAATCCACACTGATATAAATAAATAGATGAATAAATAAATACATGTGGGAGAATGAAAAAGCTCTACTTTGCAGTAGAATGCCAAATAAACTTAGAAGGAAATTAGAAAAGCATCATTTAAGAACTATTACAATAATAACTGATTCAGATAAGAACCATCAATGGACGCAAAAACAAGTAGGTGCTAGTTTATGAGGAACAGGACATCAATGTAGTTTCAAAAAGTACCTCCCCACAGAATACTTATTCATTACTTTATAGGGGAGAAACCCGGCAGAAATTCCCTCAACTAAGGGGTAAAAGTTAACATCAGTGGTGATGGGACCTAGTCAGCATGACGTTCCTCCTGATATTGACGCCCTAAGAAAAACACAGCCTCGCTTCTGTGATATTCCTGCCAAAAATGCACAGCCTCAATTTAATCGTGAAGAACCATTGAACAAACCCAAATTGAGAAATATACGTAAAAGCTCAAGTGTTCTGAACTTTTAAAAACTGCTTAGGTCATTCATGTAAGATAAGGAAAGACTGAAAAAGATTTCCAAATTAAAGGAGACTAAAAAAAAATACACACACACACACACACACACACACACACACACACGTGATCCTGGACCAGAAAGGATAGGAATAAAAGAGAAAGTTTTTCTTATATTTTGTTGTTTTCTTTTGTTACAACATTTTTGGGACAGCTGGCCTCAACTTACTCTGAAATGGTAGAAGTAAAATATAGATATAAATCTACAGGTATATCGATACAGATATAGTTGATTCTCATTGTTTGCCATAATTATGTTCTATAAAGTCAAATAAATACTGAATTAGTGAATATATTGAACCAGTGTTCTTAGAGGAAATTCATGGTTAGGTTCCCGTGAGCCTTCAAAACATCTTCAGCAATCAGGCAATACATAACCGTGTTTTATGTGTACTTCTGTTTAAAGACACTTTTTTTAATACACATAGTGATTCATTAACATTGAACTTCTGGCCATCAGCACTAGAACGCATCCTGAACAAAGTCTGTCTAACACACTGATTTCTTCCAAGAGATACATCATGGCCTTCTTGTGCTTAGGAACACGAGACAACACTTCAGCACTGTGCTTGGGTGCCTCTGTAAACAGAGAAGTCATCGACAAGAAGCACAAAACTGTGAAAACATGGCCTTACACAGGATGAAAAGAAGGACACTTGTTTTACATTACGAGAGCTGAAACGAGAAGACAGAGTATAGCCTTGCTGGACCTCCACTGGGAACACATACACTGAGTTTTGCCCCTCTGCGCATGCCCGCAAATGACAGGAAAATGCCAAGAGAGAAACAGAGACAGACAGACGAACGTGGCAAAATGTTAATAATAGGAGAATCTGGAAGAAGAAAGGTTTATAGTTCTTTGTCCTATGCTTTTAACATTTCATAACGTTTGAAATTATTTCAAAATAAAAGGTTAACAAAAAAATTTTAAATAAATAATCCATCCCACTCACTTTAAAATAAAAAGAGGCCCCAAAAGGTTCAAAGCCCAGGAAGGTATTCTGTCACACTGGTGGCAGGTTTGCTGAGACAGTGCCCCTTCGAAGCCCTGCGGCCTAATCAGACAGGGGGTCGGCACTCAGCAGAAGCTGAGTGCAGAAGCTTGGGAAGCCCAAGCCGGAGGCCACCCCTGTCCCCACTGCTCCCTCCTCTCGTCAGCCTCCCTGGGCTCCTCCTTAACACCTAGCAATTCAAGCAGCACATGAACTATTTACAGATCTGGAAGTTTAAAGACATAGAGATATCAACATCAGTGTAAGTCTGGTAGCCCCAGAAAGCTAAATCATTCTAACAAAAAAATCAACACCTAAAGGAAGAGATTAGAAACTGAAATTATATATCTCTTTACCTATGTGCCTGTTTCCCATAACCTATAAGTAAGCCTCATGATGACAAGGACAATTTTTATTTGATAATACATACTCGGTCCCTAACATACTGCCAGGGACATGGTAGGTACTCATAAGACATTTGTTAAATTATATAAGGGAGGAAGAGTAGAAGAATGGAAAGGTTGAAAGAAATATGAAATGGTTCAAACAGGCGCTTTCAAAACACAATACCAATAAGCCAAAAATTATGAAAAACAGGGGAGGAGCCTGGCTTAACTAAAAATACAGTAATTGTATTACTGTGTATTACTATGTTTTCAACAGGAAGATATGATTAGCCAAGAGGTACAAATAAAAGTGAGGAGAAAGACAGAACTTGAAAATGTTCACGGAAAAGCACCCGGGGAAGCCATGCCCGACCAATTCGTTTGACAATGTACTTTGCAGATGTGTCCTGTAGCGTGCTTATCCACTCAGTATTAAGAACCTACAACAAAGGCAGACCTAAGGCTACAAAGGCAAATATGTATTTAAAGTTAAGATGTTGCACAACAAGCAAACAAGATGTGGACAGCTTACAGCAAGTGCACAAAGGACACCACCACACAACCGCTGCCTACCCTCTCCTTCTTCCACAGAAAAAATGTTCGGTTGGGCACATGGCTGGCTGCCCAGAATAAAGACTAAATTTCTCAGGTCCCCCTGCTACTAACTTCTGAAATTACGGTAGGATCATCAGGTGCCAGCTTCCAGTAATGTCTTAAGAGCCAGCAAATGCACACTTTTCCTTCTTCCTCCACTGTGAGGCCCAGAATGGCTGTGAACTTGGACTGGGAGAATGAGGACCACTCCCTAGGGGGAGTGGAGAAGGGGAAGGTTCCAGCCCATGAGGACCTTATTGGACAGAACAATCACAACAGCTCTAGGCCACTTACCCACAGATTTCCCATATGTGAAAGGGGAATAACTTCTATCTTATTTAGCATCTGTGGTTTTCGATTTTCTGAACCTAATCCAAACTTATAGAGCAGGACTATTATTGCCAACAGAACAGGAGGCATGGAATGGTAAAAAGTGAGGCTGGGAAATGGGCTGAGGAGAAGCCCTCGAAGGAAAGCTAAGGAGCTTGGACTGGAGCCCAAAGGCAACAAGAGTGACTGGAAAGTGACTCTAAGTGACTTCTAAGTAGAAAAAGGGTGACAGTCAGATTTGCATTTTGATACCGTCATTCTAGCAGTCATGGACATGAAGCATCAACTATGTTTCCAAACTGATTTCAAACTCCCTAAGAAATCTTCTGAATGTAACATGGTTTCCTGCATCTAGTGCCTTCCTGGGAGAGGGGTGGCATACATCGCTGGTTTCCCTGACAATTATAATTCTCAATATAAACTAAAAGACTGGTACTTTATCCATTGGAATGATTCAAAGTAAATGCCATTGTAGTTTGTACATCAGTTTAATAAACACAAGTCCATCTCCAAAAGACTCAGGGGCCACACACAACATTGAGGGTATGGGTGAGTGGAAACTATTGCAGTCTGGCAGGAATTTCTGGTCTGGGCTTTACCAGAGTCAGAGAATTACAAGCCTTAAAACAGGTTAAAGGTGATTCCTGACCAGTAATATATCAAAGAGACTAAAAGAGGGAAATGTAAATCATTTCTGGAAGAAGCCACCTTCATGAGTATAAAGACATTCCTATACATAATTTATTTATTTATTTTTTATTTAATAGAGAAAGGGGAGGAGAGGGAGAGAGGGAGAGAAACATCAATGTGCCAGAGAATCATTGATTGGTTGCCCCTCGCATGCCCCCAACCAGGGACCTGGCCCACACCCAGGCCTGTGCCCTGACCAGGAATCAAACCAGTGACCCTTCAACTTGCAAGACAATGCAATTGCCCCAGCCAGGGCAATTTAAGATTTTATTTATTTTCCGAGAGAGAGGAAGGGAGCAAGAAAGCAGGAGAGAAACATCGATGCGTTAGAGAAACATCAATTAGTTGCCTCTTGCACACCCCCAACTGGGGACCTAGCCCACAACCCAGGCATGTGCCCTGACTGGGAATCAAACCAGTGGCCCTTTGGTTCACAGGCCGGCGCTGAATCAACTGAGGATTTCTTTTTTTGACACTGTCAAGACAAAACATAAAAACAAATTTTCTCTACAAAGCATTTTTAGCATAATGAATATGTATGTTTTTTCAGGGTATAGGTAATCTACCCTTCTCCCGATTATCTTCATAGAAGAGTCTCAATGACTCAGGAATTCTCAGTGTCACAGTGCTTAAGGCTTGAATAAAATGTTTTCTCCCAATGCAATTGGCTTGAGTGTCTTCTTCCAGCACCAGAAGGGCTGCCTCTCTATGGACAGCTTTGATCTCTGCTCCCAAATGTGTGTCCATTTGGAGAATGAGTTCATCCAGATCAATGTCCTGACTGATTGGCATGGAGAGAAACTGTTGGTTGAACATTTCCCTCCTAGTTGCTGCATCTGGTAAAGGCACATAGACAATTCTATCAATTCTTCCAGGCCGCATCACAACGTTGGGCAGTTAGTAGCTGTCAAAACTGTCACATCTTTTAACGGTCCAATGCCATCCATTTCCATTAGGAGCTGAGCCAACACAAGGTCGGCCCTACGTACTCCCAGAATCTGAAGAACTGCCCCTTCCAACTGCTAAGGCATCCAGTTCATCAAGGAAAATAATGGAAGGAGCTACCACTCTTGCTTTTCCGAAGGCCTCTCCAACCGCTCTTTCAGATTCACCAACATATGGATTCGTTAATGCATGTTCCTTTATGGCTAAGAAATTCAGTCCAACCTCATTAGCCAAAGGCTTTGCAATTAGTGTTTTAGAGTATCCAGGTGGCCCATACCAAAGAATTCCTTTTAATTCCTTCAGGTGGCTGAATACCCATTCAGATGAGACTTGGAGGTTTCAAGGGCCATTTCATAACCTGTTTCAATTTTGGTCTGATATTTTCCAGTCCTCCTGTATCTACCCAGGATGCAACTGGGACATCATCTGCAACCTCCCTCATGGCACTACTTGTCATTCATGCCCTGGGAGAATTCATTCAGAGTAATCTTCACCGACCCAGGCACCTTGCTGTCAAGGAGGTTAGGCTGTTTCTTCAGGACTCTCTGCAAAGCACAGAAACCTGTTGCACTGTGGCACTTCCCTGTGTACTGCTCTAGAGAAGACAGTACAGTCTGTCTTTTTCACTGCGGTAGCCCCAGCACCCAGTGCAAGGTATGGCTCAATAAATGAATCAAAATCAAAACATTAAAGATAGATATTTCTACACACGTAAGACAGTTTTTCATTGTAACGTAAGTTATGAAGTGATCTTTGGATGAGAAGAAACCCAAAATCAACAACAAAAATTCCTTACCCAAACTTCATATCTCACCATTCATAATTTAGGAAAACACTTTTTTTCTATTATTTACTATTTTCACACAAAAAAAATATTTACAGGCTTTTATATGAGCCACAATTTCAGGTGGCTTTTTTGTAAAATCCCATCACTCACCTGGAGTCAACCTTCCTCTCCATTCTCACGCTTAATCTCTTTTTGATGGAAATTCAACCAGTGGCTTAATATACACTTATTGAGCAGATTCTTCATGAATCAATTCCTTTTATCTTCTCTTCTAACTATAAGAAAAAAGGGAATAAGAGTAAATTATCTGAAGCCTCTTAGGAGCCACATTTCTAACAGCTACACGCCAGTTTTTACTCTTACCCTTCCTTTTTTTAAAAAATTATATTTTATTGATTATGCTATTACACCTGTCCTGATTCCTCCCTGTTTTCCCCCCTCCACCCAGCACCCCCCCACCATTGTGTCATGTGTATAAGTTCTTTGGCTATTCCATCTCCTATACTACACTTTATGTCCGCATGGCTATTCTGTAACTACCTATTTGTATTTCTTAATCCCCTCACCTCTTTACTCATGCCCTCCCATCTGGCAACCAACAAAATACTCTGTGTCCATGATTCTGTCTCTGTTTTTCTTGTTTCCTTACATTGTTTTGTAGATTCAGTTGTGGCTAGATAATGTATTTATTGCCATTTTATTGTTCATAGTTCTGATCTTTTTATTAAATTAGTCTCTTTAACATTTCATATAATAATGGTTTGGTGATGATGAACTTTAGTTTTTTCTTGTCTGGAAAGATTATCTGCCCTTTGGTTCTAAGTATCTTTGCTGGTTAGAGCAATCTTGCCTGTAGGTCCCTGCTTTTCATGGTTTTGAATATTTCTTGCCAATCCCTTTTAGCCTGCAAAGATTCTTTTGAGAAATCAGCTGACATTCTTATGGAAACTCCCCTGTAGGTAGCTAACTGCTTTTCTCTTGCTGCTTTTAAGATTCTCTCTTTATCTTTAATCTTTGGCATTTTAATTATAGTGTGTCTTGGTGTGGACATCTTCGCATCCATCTTGGTTGGGACTCTCTGTGCTTCCTGGACTTGAGTGTCTATTTCTTTCACCAAATTAGGGAAGTTTTCTTTCATTATTTTTTCAAATAGATTTCCAATTTCTTACTCTTTCTATTCTCCTTCTGGCACCCCTGTGATGCAAATGTTGGAATGCTTGAGGTTGTCACAGAGATTGCTTACACTATCCTTGGTTGGTTTTTTTTTTTTTTTTGGATTCTTTTTTCTTCTTCTTGTTTTGATTGGTTGTTTTTGCTTCCTTATGTTCCAAATCATTGATTTGATTCCCAGCTTCAGCCACTCTACTGTTGTTTCCCTATGCCACCATCTTGACCAGAAGTCTGTGCCCATCTTTTTTTTAAATATATAATCTTTTTTATTTTCTCAATTGCCATTTAGTCCCCTTATACCTCTCCTCCCAGCAATCACTACCCTGTTGTCCACGTCCATGAGTCCTTTTTCTGGTTTGCTCAATCCCTCCACTCCCTAAGCACCCCCACTGCAACAAGCTGCATCTGTTCTCCATCCATGAGCCTGTGCCCTTCTTGATTCAACACTAAATGAACATGCAAGGTCCCTGATTTGAAATAGTTTTAATTGCATTTTTAAAGGTTACTTTCTAAGAAAAGAAACTAGGAGAGTGAGCCACACTCAAAAAGTTACGATTGGCTCATTCTTCCTGTCCAGATGTTGCTCCAAGACCTTCAACTTCCCTTCATAAGAACATCAGTAGAGACTCAAATTTCTTTTTTTTAATTTAATCTTTATGTATGTTTTCCATTACCTCCAAAATTTCTTTTTATCCTCCAAGGTTAATTGGTTGTCAATGTCACCTATAAGAATCTTCAGGCAGTTTTTGAACAGCAGTGGAATACTGTGTACAGTTTTCACTTTCGTTTGGTGATAATTTCTACCAATAACATTCATTGTGAAGGGAATAAATAACATGTGAAAGGAATAGCAATGTTGTGGGTTGAATTCTGCCCCCCTAAAAGATATGCTGAAGTCCTAACCTGTAGTACCTATAAATGTGACCTTATTTGGAAACAGAGTCTTTTGCAGAATTAAGAGGTAAGCTGAGATACGGTCACACTGAATAGGATGGGCAGTTAATCCAATATGACTGTCATCTTTACAAAAAGAAAAGAGACACAAGGACAGATACAAAAAGAAGAATGGCAGGTGAAGACACAGACGTACAGCAAGAATTGCATGTGGTGATGAAAGAAGAGATCAGAGCATTGTATCTGCAAGCCAAGGAACACCAAGGACTGCTGGCAACACCGGAAGCTCAGAGAAAGGCATGGAACAGATCTTCCACCAGAACCTTCAGAAAGAGGATCGTTTTGTTGACATCTTGATTTCAAACTTCTAGCCTCCACACTACATAAATTTCTGTTGTTTGAAGACATCTGGCATTGTTACCGCAGCCTTTGGAAAGACAAAGGAGTAAGATCTAAGTAAATGGTGCAGGAAAGTTAAGAGTAGATGTGTCCCACCTTGAGGAACTGTCATGCATTCATTCTATTGTAAAAGAAAGAAATCATCCTTTAAAATCAAGGTCACTATTTCAATGACAATCAGACAAGGAATTAGCCAGAAAAGAGTTTATCCATACAAAATCAATAGTTCTCACTGATATCAAACCTATGTCCTAGTCTTTTTGGTATCACACTCCAACTGATGAAGGTCATCATTAGTGGCTATTTCTGTAAATAAGTGGAAGAATAATTAAAATAGGGATTTTGGGTAAAAAATACTGCCATAATAAATGGGTCATTGCCTTGGGTTTATGCCTTGTTATAATGATTCTATAGAATGTTATCTGTGGTCAAAGACTCCTTTTGTTATACACACTGTACCAACATTTTAACTATTTGTATTATAATACCTGCCTCCCGGATTCAAGTATTAATTCCATGAAAACAGAAGCCAAATCTTTCTCACCACTGTATCTCCAGCATCTAAAACAATGTCCGAACCTGACAGGTGAGATATATAAATACTGGAAAGACTAGGTCACCGGTTTGATCTCAGTAAAGATACGAATATGAACTTGCTTCTGAGTTGGAGTACACATTAATGATAATCAAATGTAAAAGACAGCCCTAGAAAAACAAAGCTTATTAGGTGAGGACTTCCAGTTAAATGCATAGATTGCCCGCCTAAGAGGACAGTAAAGAATATAAAGGTATACAAGAGAGGGGAGAAGAGATCATAGGAAACGAAAGATTTCCACAAACTTTTGCAACAAGAATGTGTAAAAAGGAAAATTAACTGACCTAACAGATTCGAGGAAGTGAAAACTGACAGCATGGGATACCGAACGGAAGCAGGCCAACGGAATCCCAGAATAGCTCAGAAGTAAGAGAAACAAGGAAAGGCTCCCAGAACTGAAGCCATAGGCCACAAATGAGAAGACTGAATGGAAGTCTATACCGTGAGCATTTGGGGCCCCTGATCTTCTCCTCAACCTGGCCAGGCAGGTATACAGCCGATCCCTCCACCAGCCCTATTCCAGAATTCTGGCAGCTGTACTTGTACCTCCCAGTAGGAGACCGAAAAAGAGTCCCTCAGAAGAAGCTAAGAATTAATAGACCTCCAGATTCTGACATCTGTGCCCCACCTCTATCTATGAAGATGCAGGCTTGCCCCTAAAGAAGCTCACAAACCTGTATCTCCTGCTCAGGCACTAGGAGCTTCCAACTAACTTCTCAGTTGCTAACACTTAATTATAAATGGACAGTCAAGAATAATAAGATATTTGGAAATGACCTCCAACAAGAAGAAAAAGATCAAAATAAAGAAACCTGAGGAAGTGCTGCCACTTGTGATGTATTCCTGGCAAAAACTTGAATTTAAACATTATTGAACCTCATCTAGAACTAAGTACCAACGAACAGAAATAGAGGGGCAGATAAAATGACTTTGCAATCAGCAAAGTCAATGATGTAGGAAACATGTCCTGTTTACAGGACAAACAACACAGTTCCTTCAATAAATAAACTGCCAGTTAGGGGGTGGGGAAGAAACTTACACAGTAAGAAACTTAAGATGCATATTAACCAGATGCAGTGCATGGACTTTAATTTTGGATCCTGATTTTAACAAACTAACTACAAATCCACCGTTATACAAAAAACATGAAACAATCAGGGGAATGTAAACTTTAATTTTTTAACTTAATCTTTTAATAAATTATTTTAAATTACCCTTTTTTTGTGGTAGCAGTGTTGGTTGTTCTTTTAAAAGGACATTTTGTGCCCTGGCTGGTGTGACTCATGGATTAAGTGCTGGCCTGTGAACCAAAGGGTCGCCAGTTCAATTCCCAGTCAGGGCACAGGCCTGGATTGTGGGCCTGGTCCCCAGTTGGGAGCATGAGAGGGATGGCTGACTGTGTTTCTCTCCCTCCCTTTCTCTATCCCTTCCCCCCTCTCTAAAAATACATATTTTTTTAAAAAAAGGACACATCTTTTGCAGAAAAATTTACAGATAAAATAGGGAGAATCTGAGCACCAAAATAATCAATGAGAGTACTAAGTTATAACACATTAAATGAAACAGGAACTCATAATTCCAGGCTAATAACAGAGAAATAAATATAAAGACCAAAAAAATGGAGCCAGGCTCTTTCTTACACAGAATGCCCACTGAGAAACGTGGAGGGAACTATAGACCTGGAAAACCCCCATCTTGTAACCATCAAAGAGAAAATTTTTTAAAGGACAGGGACAAAAAAAGTTAAAAAGTAGTAATGTGGACAAAGGTATATCAGGGTTCCATGTATCACTCTTGCAACTTTTGTATTAGTTTGAAATTATTTCAAAATACAAATTAAAGCAAAAGTGATCCCGTGGGAACAAAGTGAGCAGAGGTAAAGGTAAAACAAGGTAGTTCATAAATTGATGGGTTTCGGGTTTTCCAGAAAGAGAGCTATGAAACAGGAGGAAATTACCAAGCAAATAGGAAGCAAGTTTCTCAAAAGCAAGAGGTCCTGCACCAAAACCAAATTTCACGGTAGATAAAACACTGTTTCCAACAAGCAGGAAGAAAAGCATTAAGATACCCCTTGAGAAGTTATAGTAAAATTGGAAACTGTCAAATTTAAAAACACATGTGCTTCAAAGACACTATCAAAAAGTGAAAAGACAACTCACTGAATGGCAGAAAATATTTGCAAATATGCTCTGGGA